TCATGAATAAATAAATAAAATATTTAAAAAAAAAAGTGCTGAGGAAAAAGTGACCTTCAGCCTAAAATTCTATATGCAACCAGACTATCAGTCAAGTGTGACCACGGAATAAAGCCATTCTCAGACATGTAAAGATGTCCCTGGAGGACAGTTGACAGATTAGGCTATAAGGAAAACCTTGAGAGATTTATACGGCTTTTTGAGGGTGTAGGGAGATTTGGATGTTCAAAAAGAACAAAACAAGTGGGAAAAACAAGGCAATTATTAACTCCAGGAAAAAGGAAAAGTTGCACAAGAAAGAATACTTCTTGGCTCAGTGTTGAATAAAATTTATTTAGTTATAATAATGAAAACATTGAAGGTGTACTTAACTAAAAATTATGATATATTAAGAGGACGGAGGACATGATTCAGGGGTGTTTGTGAGATGAAAACCCTCACTGATCATAAAAAGAAGTCAACAGATAATCTCTAAAATGAATGAATCAAAACATTACAGAATAGATTCATTATCTAAATATATGTAAGTATATATATGAAGAGAACGAGGGACTGCAGTTTTTGTTGTTGGTATTTTTGTACTAATTGGCTGTTTACAAAAAAAAAATAATTTAAAAAACCTAAGACCTAGGCCATACAGGGAGGCATACCTTAACTTTGGCAGGTTCTAAGACTAAAAAGAAAGTAAATTGTGATGAAATAAAAAATAGCTTGCCTTGATATTATACATTTTTACCTTTTAAAAATGCTTGTGATAACCATAGTACCATTGAGTATACCAAATGCCCAAATTTTAGTTTCTAAATACCTTTTCAGACTAAAAGGAATCAGAGCTCTTTAGAGGTATAGCTGATTCCAGGGATGGTGCAGGGAAAGTATAAGGTGAACCTGGAACATCTTGTGCCAGAGAGCTCATGCTCAGAGGCTAATAGGGACACATTAAAAGGACCCAAAGCTAGCTTAAGGGGCTCCCCAGGCCTCTGACTCTTGATCTCAGCTCAGGTCTTAATCTCAGGGTCATGAGTTCAAGCCCCATGTTGGGCTCCTCACTGCATTTGGAGAATACTTAAATAATTTTTTTTTAATTCATGAGAGACATGAGAGAGAGACAGATACAGAGACAGAGCCAGAGGTAAAGGGAGGAGCAGGTTCCATGCCCAATAAATTTTTTTAATTAAAAAAAGGAGAGGGCAGCCTGGGTGGCCCAGCGGTTCAGCACCACCTTGGGCCCAGGGCCTGATCCTGGGGACCCGGGATCGAGTCCCACGTTGGGCTCCCTGCATGGAGCCTGCTTCTCCCTCTGCCTGTGTCTCTGCCTCTGTGTGTGTGTATGTCTCTCATGAATAAATGAATAAAATCTTTTTTTTTTAAAAAAAAAAGGAGAGAATAAAATTTTGTGTTAGCATTGGAGGTGACTATCATGACAACCTATCCTGAAAGTTGATAAAAAGGTATTTAGAGGGAATTGTTGTTTATCCCCAAGAACTTGATGAAGTTCTTCTTTACAAAAGAATGTAGATGAATGACAGCATTTTAAAATTTGCCATTTTGTGGGGATCCCTGGGTGGCTCAGCGGTTTAGCGCCTGCCTTTGGCCCGGGGCGTGGTCCTGGAGTCCCGGGATTGAGTCCTACTTCAGGTGCCCTGCAGGGAGCCTGCTTCTCCCTCCGCTTGTGTCTCTGCCTCTCTCTGTGTATGTGTGTATCTCATGAATAAATAAATAAAATCTAAAATAAATTAATTAATTTAATTAAATTAAATTTGCCAGTTTACAAACCCCAATGAAGTACCTGCACCAGGCAAACATCATCAGGGGATGCTTAACCCATTAAGTGAAAGGCTGTAGGCAAATGGGATATTTGCCTGTGCCAAAGTATCATCTGGAAATTGTAATGCTGTGTGTATATATAAAATACATATATTATTATTAGTAACAGCGCTGTGATTTATGTATATTGTTCTATATGTATAGAGGAGGAATGATAAAGCACATGTGACACCTTTTAGCAGTTGGTGAATCTGTCCAAAGATTACACAAGAGTTGTTTCAACTATTCTTACAACTTTATCATTAGGTTTTTTTTTTAATTTTTTTATTTATTTATGATAGTCACACACACACAGAGAGAGAGAGAGAGAGGCAGAGACATAGGCAGAGGGAGAAGCAGGCTCCGTGCACCGGGAGCCCGACGTGGGACTCGATCCCGGGTCTCCAGGATCGCGCCCTGGGCCAAAGGCAGGCGCCAAGCCGCTGCGCCACCCAGGGATCCCTATCATTAGGTTTTAAACTATTTCAGAGGGGTGCCTGGCTGGCTCAGTCGGAGGAGTACGCGACTCTTGATCTCTGGGTCATGAGCTCAGGCCCCACGTTGGATGTAGAGATTATGTACATATGCACATACATATATAAACAAAAAAATGAATTATTTCAGAGTAAAAAATTTTAGAAAAATCTAAGTTAAAACTAGACCAGCTGGAGAGGCAGCTTCTAATTTTGGTGGGACCTAAACACACATGGACTAAGAGGAAAGTAAATCTTGATAAAGTCGCTCTTATTTAAATACTTTTATTATCTTGGTATTTCTTGCAGCGTTCACGAAGGCATGGAGAGCTCCGGCCTGTACACCTTCTGGGGCGGGCAGAGCCAGGAATCTGATGGGGGAAGAGGGAGGTGAGAACTGGAGCCCGTTCCCAGACACTCTGCTTCCCTGCCCGGTGTCCTTTCTTCCCAGCTGAGACTCCTCATCCGTATACTGGAAGCCAGCACCCCAAAGAGCCGGCGGGGAGCCCCTTGGTCCCTCAGCATCTGCCTAGCACCGACACTCGCGGGCTTTGTGTCTCCCGGGATCGTCTTGCAATCGTTCCGTCCCTGCCCGCGCTGGATTACAGACGCTCCGCACCCGCTGCGGCTGGTTTTCATCTTTGTCGCATGTCCCTACCCCGTAGTTTTGGCGCAAGTGCCGGATGAGGCGGGACAGCTCCGTGTAGCCTTTCTGATCCATTGTCTTCAGAAAACAGTTAATAAATGCTCAGAGGAGAAGGGAAGGGTAGGAACGGGTACGCTGGGCCTTCACAATCCTCCAGCTTGACGTGTGCGGCTGGGAACGGACGGTGGGCGAGCCGGGAGGACCTACAAGACACAGCTCAGACGTGCAGGACGTTTGACAGGCCCCGCCGTGGGGCTGAGGCCCAGAGACGAGCTCCAGGGAGAGGGGCCCGCTCCACTGCCCGGCCTCCCTCCGGCCTTCTCGTTGATTCTCTCCCCGGAGGAGGCTGTTCTCCTGAAGTCCGAGTTCGCTGGTCTCTCAAGGTTTTGTCCCCGATTGACTTTTCCCCAGTTTCTGCAGCCCAGCTGCCCCCACCCAGGGCTGGCATCCAAGGCCCACGGAGCTGCCCACACGAGACGCCTCAGTCTCAACCCTGGCACAGAGAGGCCCAGGGAGGAGGACAGGACGCAGCCTCGGGGGCTGATACACCCAGAGAGCAATTCCCGGGCTGGGTGGCATGCCGGGGCAAGTGTGTGACCTCGGCCAAGTCACACGGCTTCTGAGCCTCCATTTCTTCTTCTGCAAAATGGAGAGACAATAAAACTAACTTCTCCCTTCCCTCCCCCCCCCCCAAACTGGCTGAGTGGATTAATTCAGATGACTGGGGCCTCCACGCTTCCTCTAGTGCTTCAAAATGTTCGTGACCACCAGGGGCCACGTGCCCAACTCTGCGCGAAGGGCTGCCCCTGGAGGCAGGTAAGGGTTCCTCGTTCCGTCTTCTTCACGCTCTCTTCCCTTACCTCTGCAAACTGATTCAGGCATAATCTGGTTATGCAAACAGCAGGCACCTGGACCTGCCGGCCTAAATATTTATCCCCTGGGAGGTTGTGAGGACGAGGCAGTGCAGCTTCTCCACCGCAGAGCCAGACTGCCTGGGTTCCAACCCTGGTTCTACCCTTTACTGGCCCTGTGGGCTTGACCAAGGCGTGTCCTAATATAGAAGTGTAGCATTGGGACGCCTGGGTGGCTCAGTGGTGCAGCGTCTGCCTTCGACCTAGGGCACCCTCCTGGGGTCCTGAGATCGAGTCCTGCATCAGGTTCCCTGCAGGGAGCCTGCTTCTCCCTCTGCCTGTGTCTCTGCCTCTCTCTCTGTGTCTCTCATGAATAAATAAATCTTAAAAAGAGAGAGAGAGAGAGAGAGAGAGAAGTATAGGAATATTAGAGACCTGTAGCTGGAACATGTCAGCATTAAAGTTAGGGCTCGACACTGGGTGTTATTCTGTATGTTGGCAAATTGAACACCAATAAAAAATAAATTTATTATTAAAAAAAAACAAAAGTTAGGGCTCGAATCCCAGGTCCACCGTTGATGACCTGGGTGACCTCATGCAAGATGCCTAACTCCTCCGTGTCTGGTTTCCTCCCCACCTGTACATGCAGACAGTGTCAACAGTACCTTCCACCTGCAGGACCACAGGGGCAGCGAGATCTCTAAGGACTTACAGAACACCTGGTACGTCGCAGGCGCTGTCATTTGTTTATTTGAAACGAAGTCATTGCTCCCAGGTGTGGAGGTTGCCTGGGGGAGGGCGGAGAGGATGCACCCACCTGGCTGCTTAAACAAAGCCCGCGTGGCTCAAGCCTCCCGAAGGCCCGGCTCCCCGCCCCTGCTTGGCCACGCCCCCGTGCGGCGTGTCCCCGCCCCTAGCTCCGCCCTATGCCCCGCCCCGCGCCGCCTGGCCACGCCCCTGCGCTAGTCTCGCGCACTTTCAGAGTGCGCGAGCTCGGGCCGGGACCGGGGGCCGACGGTTGGCCGGGCGAGACCATCTGTTACGCTGCGTGGGGGGAGCCGACGGCCCGGGCCTCCGCGTTTTCTCAATTTTCAGCGTTTCTGGCCCCGCTGCTGGCGTTCCTGCGGCCGTTCGGTGCGCGCCGCCCTCCCGGCCTGCGAGCGGGAGCCCCCGGCCTCCGGGGAGGCGGTCGCCGTGGCCCCGCGCGGCCGCCCCCCCCTCCGGACGCGGGGCCGGTGGGACAGGACGACGGCGGCGGGGGGAGGCGGCGGCCCTGGCGCCATTTTGTGGGAGCGAAGCGGTCGCGGGGCTGCTCGCGGGTCTCTCGCTGCTCCGGTTTCCCTGTCGGGCCTCCCAGCCGCGGGCTCGCGGGTGAGTCGCGGACGCCTGTCGCGGCGCCCGCCCCGGGGAGGGAGCGGCGGGGCCGGGCCTGGCGGGGGGGGGGGGCGGGGGGCCGGGCCTGGCGGGGGGGGGGGGCGGGGGGCCGGGGGGCGCCGGGCCGCGCGGGGGCTGCTGGGAGGTGGGCCCCGGCACGACCTGCAGCGCCGGCCGCGTCCCCGGGAGGCCCTGGAGCCCCGACGGGGCGCGGGGCGCCGGGGGCGGGGGAGGGGGGGAGGGGGAAACGGTTGCCCGGACACGGGCGTGCGTCACGGGTGTTGATTTTTCCCGTTTCAGAGCGATAAAGAGAAGATGTCCGAGTACATTCGGGTGACGGAGGACGAGAACGACGAGCCCATCGAGATCCCGTCGGAGGATGACGGCACCGTGCTGCTGTCCACCGTCACCGCCCAGTTCCCCGGGGCGTGCGGGCTGCGCTACCGGAACCCGGTGTCCCAGTGCATGCGGGGCGTGCGGCTGGTGGAGGGGATCCTGCACGCCCCCGACGCCGGCTGGGGCAACCTGGTGTACGTGGTCAACTACCCCAAAGGTTCGCAGCCCTGGGCCCTGCGGCGCTGGGGGCACGGGGTCGGGCCCGGCCGCACGAGCAGCCCGGGTTCTCCTGAATTCTTTTTTTTTTTTTTTTTTTCCTTTGGAGATGTTATTTATTCATTTATTCATGAGACCAGAGAGAGAGAGAGAGAGAGAGGCGGAGACCCAGGCGGAGGGAGAAGCAGGCTCCGTGCAGGGAGCCCGACGCGGGACTCGGTCCCGGGACCGACCCCCCCCCCCCCCGCCCGGGGTCACGCCCTGAGCTGAAGGCTAAACCGCTGAGCCCCCCCTCCCGGGCTGCCTTCAAGTACTTCTTTAAACGCTGCTGTCAGACTGGTTTGGAATGCCACTAATTTAATTGATGGAAATTGGAAATACAGAACAGTTTCTTTTTTTTTTTTTTTTTTTAGGATTTATTTATGATAGGGAGGGAGGGAGGGAGGCAGAGACACAGGCAGAGGGAGAAGCAGGCTCCACGCAGGGAGCCCGACGCCGGACTTGATCCCTGGTCTCCAGGATCACGCCCTGGGCCGAAGGCACACTAAACCGCTGCGCCACCCAGGGATCCCCCCACTTTTCTTTTCTTTTTTTTTTTTTAAAGAGAAAACTGTGTATTTAATTATCTGAGCAAGTGTCGCCCGGTTAATGCCAAACTTAAGGAGCGACTAAGAATACTTTTGCAACGATCAGTCTGCAGTAGTGAGTAGGTTCTTTTGAAGTGCCCCGACATTTCTGGGTTTTGTCCCTGCAGGCTTCTGTCATTCATTCGGTTAATCTTTTTCCCTCCTTAAGTGAATATCAGTTGCAATCCCCCAGATCCTGAACTAGTGCAATTAAAATTTGGGGATTTGGTCTTATTTTCTCACTGCCTGTCATCGCTGATGTTGTAAACCTTAAAAAAAAAAAAAAAAAAAAAGGAAACGTGAAGTTTGCCAAGGAAGTAAGCACATTTTAGCAGTAACAAGTTGCTTTAGTTGATCTGTGTGTTACTTTTATTATAACTTGATGTTGCAACAAAGTGTATTATTTGCTTAGCGTGCAAGACATTGACTTACACTTTGAGACTTTCTTTCAACAGCATCAGCTTGGGTTTTTTTTTTTTTTTTTTTTAATTTTTTTTATTTATTTATGATAGGCACACAGTGAGAGAGAGAGAGGCAGAGACACAGGCAGAGGGAGAAGCAGGCTCCATGCACCAGGAGCCCGACGTGGGATTCGATCCCGGGTCTCCAGGATCGCGCCCTGGGCCAAAGGCAGGCGCTAAACCGCTGCGCCACCCAGGGATCCCTCAGCTTGGGTTTTTTTAGTATGCTATTTCTTGAGCCATTGGCTGTAGATTAATACTTATCCAAATTTAAAATAATGTTTTTTAGATGATGTGTTAGTGTAGGTTCCATCAGTTGTAACAAACTGTACTGTCCTGGATGGGGCGGATATGGATAATGGGGGAAGAAGCTATGCACCTCCGGAGGTAAAGGGGAGTGTTGGGAAATCTCTCCTTTCCTTTCCATTTTGCTGTGGACCTAAAACTGCTTTAAAAAATAAAGTCCAGGGCAGCCCTGGTGGCTCAGTGGTTTAGGGCCGCCTTCAGCCCAGGGCGTGATCCTGGAGACCCGGGATTGAGTCTCATATCAGGTTCACTGCGTGGAGCCTGCTTCTCCCTATGCCTGTGTCTCTGCCTTTCTCTCTCTCAGGAATAAATAAAATACTTAAAAAAATAAGTAAGTCCATTTTTAATTAATATATTTTAGAGATTTTATTTGCTTAGTTGAGAGTGTAGGGGAAAGAGCACAAATACAGTGAAGGGGGGCAGAGGGAGAGAGAGCAATGGACCCTGCTGAGCAGGGAACCCGGTCCAAGGCTCTATCCCAGGACCCTCGGATCATGACCTGAGCCAAAGGCAGATGTTTAATCAGCTGAGCCACCCAGGCACCCTAAAGTCTATTTTTTAAAACGTCTATTTAGTTCTTCCTTTTCCTTTACAAATACAGGTTTTTTAAAATAACCCAAGATTTTTTTAACTACAAAATCAACATGAGTTAAAAGGAAGAAAATTGAAATCACTCTTAAATCCACAGCAGGGGATAAAAGTCTGATCGTTTTTGGTATGTGACTTTTATAAAGTCAAATGAAGTAGAATTATTTTTGTTTTGATGTACCTTTTGAGAGAGGAGAACAGATCATCATAACCTGGAGATCTCACAAAACCCGAAGTGGGAGTCCCTTTCTTTGCACCAGCAAAGCCCCTCAGCCACTTCCTTAGTCCCTCTGTCCGTCTTTGAGAGCTCATCGTCTTTTTGCTTATTGTTGTTAGGTATAGGGGTTAATGTGTTCTCAGACCTGTTACGTGCGGAGTTCTGAAAGGTTTCTCATTTTGTTTAGATAACAAAAGAAAAATGGATGAGACAGATGCTTCTTCAGCAGTGAAAGTGAAAAGAGCTGTCCAGAAAACTTCTGATTTAATAGTGTTGGGTCTTCCGTGGAAAACGACTGAACAGGATCTAAAAGAATATTTTAGTACCTTTGGAGAAGTTCTTATGGTTCAGGTAAACTTTGATTTTATATAATTTCTTCTGGTGAATGAACATCCAGAACTCTTATAGTTTGGTAACACTGCCCTTCATGCTCAGCAGACAGTAATTTGTTTTTAAAGACTTTATTTATTCATGAGAGCCACACAGAGAGGCAGAGACACAGGCAGAGGGAGAAGCAGGCTCCCTGCAGCAGGGAGCTCGATTGGGGGGGGAGGGGGGGGAGCTTGATCCTGAGACGTCCTGAGCTCAACCAGTGAGCCACCCAGGCTTTCTCAGCAGACAATATTTTTATTTATTACATGCACATAGGGGATCCTGAAAAGAAATTTGGGTTGGGGCCCCTAGCAGGCTCAGTGGGTAGAGCACATGACTTTTTTTTTTTTTTTTTAATATTATTTATTCATTCAGAGAGAGCGAGAGAGAGGCAGAGACACAGGCAGAGGGAGAAGCAGGCTCCATGCAGGGAACCCAATGTGGGACTCGATCCGGGGTCTCCAGGATCACACCCCGGGCTGCAGGCAGCGCTAAACTGCTGTGCCACCAGGGCTGCCCAGCACATGACTCTTGATCTCAGAGTTATGAGTTCAAGCCCTGTATTGGTCCTAGAGCCTACCTAAACAAAAAAACAGACAAAATTTGGGTTATATTCTTTCTCTTTACACATATATCCTGTATTTTTGCCTTTATTGTTAATAAAACCGTACTGCATAAGGGCTTAAGGGAAGAAAGTGACATTAGCCTATTTCTTTTTAACTTAAATTGCTGGGAGATTAAAAAACACTTACTACTAAAGTGGGGTGGGGAGGGTGCCTGGCTGGCTCAGTCCAGGGAGCATGTGACTCTTGATCTCAGGGTCAGGAGTTGGAGCCCCACATTGGGTGTAGGGATTACTAAAATAAATAACTTTAAGGGTGCCTGGATGGCTTAGTCAATTGGAACATTTGCCTTGGGCTTAGGTTGTGATCCTGGGGTCCTGGGATTGAGCCCCATGTGGGGCTCTGCTCAGCAGGAAGCCTGCTTCTTCCTCCCCCTCTGTTCCTCCCCCCTACTCATGCTTTCTCTCGCTTTCAAATAAATAAAATCTTCTGATAAAAAATAAATAACTTTTTTAAAAACCCACTTATTTTCTGCCTTTCCCACTTAAGATTTGTAGACATTAGATCTAATTTATTTTAGGATTCTAAAACATTGTTAAAATTCTGTAACATGATTATTACATGATCTGGATTTGACGTTTATTACCCTCCTGTTGCTTTTACCTCAAGAATAATTTGGTTTAAGTTTTAATTAAGCAGCTCCATCAAAGTGAAGCCATTGAAATTACCAAGAAACTGATTTGGTTGTGCCTGTGGTTCTAGTAAATTTCAGTGATTTTTTTTCCCCCCCCAGGTCAAGAAAGATATTAAAACTGGTCATTCAAAGGGGTTTGGCTTTGTTCGTTTTACGGAGTATGAAACCCAGGTTAAAGTAATGTCACAGCGACATATGATAGATGGACGGTGGTGTGATTGTAAACTTCCTAATTCTAAGGTATTTTTGCTCTTTTCTCCATACTTTGGGAATTTTTGCTGACAAACTCCCTTAGAAGACACTGTAAAATGTTGCACAAAATGCCCTTGGAAAAGGTGGTGGCAGGATGTAGTCCTGAAGCCTTTTGCCTTGTTAATAAAACCGTATGATTGTCATGCATGCCGAATATCTTATGTTTGAAAGGTTTAGTTTATTCCCCCTTGAAACTAAAAGTTTGTTCATTTTATTGTTATTTCTAGTGAGCAAACAGATTCTTGGGTAGTTACGTGTTAAAATTCAAGGACAGCTAGAATCCGGTGATCTTGTCGGGATGGCCTGACTTGTTCCAGGCAGGCAAGGCTGATTTGGAGAGTGAGCATCTTTACCAGGGCATTTCTGTCATTGACTTTGCTTAATCCAAACATACGGTCTTGAACTTTAAACTTTAAAGCGTTGGGGGCACCTGACGGGCTCAGTCAGTAGAGCGGGTGACTCTTGATCTCGAGATTGTGGGTTCAAACCCCACAGTGGGTGTAGAGATTACTTAAAAATAAGGTCTCTTGAAAAGTAAATATTATTCTTCCCTGAAGTCTTAAAGAGAAGTGCTAATGCAGAAAAGTAAGAATGTACCTACTTTTTAATGATAGAAAAGGCAGATAGCTTTTGTTATATCCTCTATCATATAATGCTCTTCGTCGCTCGTAAAATACTTTTCGTGTTTTTCTTTTCTTTCGATTTGACCAGCAAAGCCCAGATGAGCCTCTGAGAAGTAGGAAGGTGTTTGTTGGGCGCTGTACGGAGGACATGACCGCCGACGAGCTGCGGCAGTTCTTCTGCCAGTACGGAGAAGTGGTAGACGTCTTCATTCCCAAACCGTTCAGGGCCTTTGCCTTTGTTACATTTGCAGATGATCAGGTATTTTTCTCTTTAATAATTTTGTCACAGCTATTTAGGTAATTTGTCTTGAATTTCTCCCACCCCGCTAATTGCCATCCTTAGCTGAGCTCTCTGGCCTTGTGAGCTGTGGGATACGTAGGTTTAGATAGTTGTGATAGACACTTGAGATATTTCTTCAGTACCTGGCATTTAACTGGGAGTGTTGTTTTGCATCTTTTGAAAATAAGGTGAAAAATCCCTGTTGTCTTACTAGAGCTAAAGGCGATTTTATGCGTTTAAATTAAGTGAGCTGAGCGTTCATTGCTTATTTTTCCTCCAGCTTAGTCAATGGCTTGAAATCTAAGTGTTATTGCTACTTTTGCTGTGTGAGTCAGTGGTTTAATCTCCTTTATTTACACCCCTTATTTCTTATAGGTTGCCCAGTCTCTTTGTGGAGAGGACTTGATCATTAAAGGAATCAGCGTACATATATCCAATGCTGAACCTAAGCACAATAGCAATAGACAGTTAGAAAGAAGTGGAAGATTTGGTGGTAATCCAGGTGGCTTTGGGAATCAGGGTGGATTTGGTAACAGTAGAGGGGGTGGAGCTGGTTTGGGAAACAATCAAGGTAGTAATATGGGTGGAGGGATGAACTTTGGTGCTTTTAGCATTAATCCAGCTATGATGGCTGCGGCCCAGGCAGCGCTGCAGAGCAGCTGGGGCATGATGGGCATGTTAGCCAGTCAGCAGAACCAGTCGGGCCCATCAGGTAACAACCAAAGCCAAGGCAACATGCAGAGGGAGCCAAATCAGGCCTTTGGTTCTGGAAATAACTCCTATAGCGGTTCTAATTCAGGTGCAGCGATTGGTTGGGGATCCGCATCAAATGCAGGGTCAGGCAGCGGTTTTAATGGAGGCTTTGGCTCAAGCATGGATTCTAAATCCTCTGGCTGGGGGATGTAGACAGTGGGGTTGGTAGAGACTGGTGGGAATTCAAATTTTTCTAAACACATGGTAAGTATATTGTAAAATACATATGTACTAAGAATTTTCAAAATTGGTTTGTTCAGTGTGGAGTATATTCAGCAGTATTTTTGACATTTTTCTTTAGAAAAAGAGGAAAAGCTAAAGGAATTTTATAAGTTTTGTTACATAAAGGGTTGAAATATTGAGTGTTTGAAAGTGAACTGCTGTTTGCCTGATGGGTAAAAACCAACACACTACAATTGATATCAAAAGGTTTCTCCTGTAATCTTTTATCCCTGGACTTGTCAAGTGAATTCTTTGCATGTTCAAATGGAAACCATTGATTAGAACTACATTCTTTTCTCCTTGTTTTAATTTGAACCCCACCATATGGATTTTTCCCTTAGGAAAATCTCCTTTTTGGAGATCATGGTGTCACAGTGTTTGGTTCTTTTGTTTTTGTTTTTTGTTTTTTTAACACTTGTCTCCCTTCACATGCAAAAGTACAATATGAAGCCTTCATTTAATCTCTGCAGTTCATCTCATTTCAAATGTTTATGGAAGAAGCACTTCATTGAAAGTAGTGCTGTAAATGTTCTGCCATAGGAATACTTCTGTCTGCACGCTTTCTCATTCAAGAACTCGTCAGCACGCTGCACAGGCCGCGTCTTTGACGGTGGGTGTCCCATTTTTATCCGCTACTCTTTATTTCATGGAGTCGTATCAACGCTATGAACGCAAGGCTGTGATATGGAACCAGAAGGCTGTTTGAACTTTTGAAACCTTGTGTGGGATTGATGGTGGTGCCGAGGCATGAAAGGCGAGTATGAGCGAGAAAAGGCGAGAGCGCGTGCAGAGACTTGGTGGTGCATAATGGATATTTTTTAACTTGGCGAGATGTGTCTCTCAATCCTGTGGCTTTGGTGAGAGAGTGTGCAGAGAGCAATGATAGCAAATAATGTACGAATGTTTTTGCATTCAAAGGACATCCACATCTGTTGGAAGACTTTCAGTGAGTTTTGTTCCTAGGTAACCCACGTTAGTTGAATGTGTTAAGTGAAACGATACTTGTACTTCCCCACCCCTTTGTCAACGGCTGTGAATGCTGTATGGTGTGTGTTCTCCTCTGTTACTGATCTGTAAGTGTGCTCATGTGACCTGAAGCTGGTGGGTTGAGAACATGGACTGAGCTTGTGGTGTGCTTTGCAGGAGTACTTGGAAGCAGAGTTCACCAGTGAGCTCGGGGTGTCGCACAGAAGGGTGGAAGTCCTAATGTCTGTTAGCTCCCCTAAGAATGCTGTCTGAGGCAGTTCTGTGTCCTGTGCTTGGATGCTTTTTATAAGAGTTGTCAATGTTGGAAATTCTTAAATAAAACTGATTTAAATAATATGTGTCTTTGTTTTGCAGCCCTGAATGCAAAGAATTCATAGCAGTTAATTCCCCTTTTTTGACCCTTTTGAGATGGAACTTTCATAAAGTTTCTTGGCAATAGTTTATTTTGCTTCAAATAAACTTATTTGAAAAGTTGTCTCAAGTCAAATGGATTCATCACCTGTCATGCATTGACACCTGATACCCAGACTTAATTGCTATTTGTTCTTGCATTGTCCAAAGCGAAAAGTTTTTTTTTTTTTCTTTTTAAATCTAGTTTTTAATAAGTCTGGGTGACCACACCTAAAATGGTAAGCAGTACCCTCCAGCTTTTTATTAGTGCCTCTGTGCATTTGGGTGATGTTCTATTTACATGGCCTGTATAAATCTCCATTGGGAATCCTGCCTTCTAAAAATATTCTTATTTGGGGGAGTGGGAAAAAAACAATGTTAATTATTTTGAAATGCTTTGTAGCAAAGCATAGCAGTCGAAAAGAAGGGAATACCAGCACCTTTCGAGTTTGGGATTTGAAAAGTGGAATTAATTGCAGTAGGGATAAAGTAGAAGAAACCACAAATTATCTTGTGCCTGAAATCCATTACAAAGCCTGATAGCTTTAAGAACTAGCAGGGTGGGTCGTCTGTCTGGAAGTGCTAAGTGGAGTGGGCTCTGTCCTCCACAGGTGGGGGAATAGAGGAATGTTGGACAAAACCGTTTACAAACTCAGATTAGACTCTCACGACGCGTTGTGAAGAATGTGAAAGCAATAATCTATTGATCCTCTGTTGTACTTTTTAATGTAACTACTGTGAGAGCTGAGCTTGTTTTCTGATGGAAGAATGTTAACAGTTTTTGTGTTGGTAGTTTTACCTGATGCCCTTACCTGATTAGAGTATGATAAATAGGTCTGTCATTTTGCAAGTTACGTGTTTTAAACTTTTAGAAATGAAGTCGTCCTTTAGGCTTGTGATCGCCACGTTGTTTCGTTATTCAGTTTCTTCTGTAAAAGGATCTTGCGTTGTTTTAATTTTTTTCTGCATCTAAGTTGCATGATTTCCAAACCCTGTACCATCTGAATTTTGCATTTTAGCACTTGCACTATTACTCAGCAGCAGTAACATGGTAACACTTAAAATGGTATTCGGGGACCTCCAAAGACTAAACTGACAAGCCTCCAAGGAGCCCAGGGGTAAGTTCACTTGTCAATGGCATGGTTTTAATCCCTTATTTACACTTGTTGTAAATCTAGTTACCAGTCTTAGAAGGCTTTCAATGTGGAGCAGCCTTCTGTTAACATGTTTGTGGTACCAGTAGCTGTGGGTATTTAATTCTACCCTAAAAACTTAAAAAAAAAAGAAAAAAGAAAAAGAAAATGAAGTCTAAACTATTTGGCAAAGATTTGTTTTTAAAAGTCTATTTGGTCATCTCGATGCATTCATTCTCAAGATTTTTTTGAACCCGTTGAATAAAAAATTTGTTGCCACCACAGTTTAGTGTCTGGAGTCTTACTGGAAAAAAAAAAATTCTTTTTTATGTGTGACAAAGGTGATGGAAAGTTACCTTTAACGTGCACAACAGAAATTGGGCCAAAACTCACAATGAATTTTTACATGAGTGGTAATTATTTGGCTAGAATCAAACCCTTTGTTGAAGGTCACCTATTAAAACTTGTTGAGGAGGGAACATCCAGTGAAAGTGACATGAGACCTTAAAGGTTAAAGCAGAACCTAAATTGTGTCCTTAGGAAAAAAGATGATGTATGTGATAATCAGAGTCCTTTGTTGTTGAGTACTAGGTGAGTAGCTCTTCACTGTGTGAGTTCTCTACTCAGCCGTTGTATGATTTGTGCTCTGTTGTTGTTAAGCGTGCCCAAGTATTTCCATGTTTATTGTAAGAGGGGAGAAAAACCCACTAGATCTACCTAGAATAATATCACCATTTAATTCTGATGTGTTTCTTCTTAAGGAAATGCCACATTTGATTCCGCTGTCTTCTGTATGTGAACATTATTTAGGTTATTTCCAAGCACCAGGAACATCCTCACAGCTAGATTAAATTACTAACATTGGAATTACTAGGTCAGAGACCATGCATGCTGTCAAGGCTTTTCAGATCTATTGCCAGATTGTCCTAAAGAAGATGTTCTTTAACAATGCGAAATAGTGCTGCTCCATGTTCTCTTCGTCTGCCAATTTGAGGAGTGAAAAATTGTATCTCACCGATTTGTGATACTGGTTTTTAAACCTGGGAGTCGATCAATACCTAAGCTTAAAGTATAGATGTTTCCAACTAAAAAAAAAAAAAAAAAAAATCACCATCCAAGGTTATTCCTGCGCCAGTACTGCTATAATACACAAAGCCGTGCTAGAGATCAGTGAGAAGCGTCCCCAAATGGTGGAGAAGTAGAGAACACAAACAGGCAGTTTATAGAAATGTAGATATCCGGTACAAAAGACTGGACTTTGTAAGTAATTAAATGCAGATTTAACCAGTGAGTTTCTGTTGGTTTGGGGAAGGTGATGCCACTTAATCGTTTGTATCCCCTTGGATCAAAGAGTGGGGGGCGGGGGAACTGGCAGGTGAGGAGCACCTGTAATGACGGTCTGGCCCGTGGTGTGCTTGGGGGTGGTTGGGGGTGTTCACGTCTTCTCCGGTCACGGTGCTGCCAAGATCTTTTACAGGGATGTTTTAACTAAAGAATTGGTTGATTAAATCAATTGATTGTGCAGACATGCAAATCAAAAATTATTAATTATGTTCTCGATCCAGGGAATATAGTTAATGACTTTGGTATACACCCCATACTGATTGGCTTCCCCGCAATTAGTGGAACCCCAGGACACTATTCCTCCCACAAACCATCTCTGTGTCTCATTGTCTAGAAACACTAATGCCCCCCCACTGTCCCCTCTGCAGCTGTCCTTGCCCCCACCTTCTAAGCCAGCGCAAAGCATGTTCTCCGTGACCCTCCCCCCGGGGTAGGACAGCTTTTCATACGCAGCGGCACATTTCTGATGGTCGACGATTGGTATGTCAACAAACATTAGATGTCTGGCAAGAAAACCCCTCTGGGTTAATCCCCATCCAGATGCGGTTCCAATGTCATTGGTCCTCATGAAGGATTCCGCTTCCTTTCTTGGCAGACAGATCGGCAGGACGTTGCTCCTGATCACCACCCTGTTCTTCAACCTAATCAGTGCTATGTCGTTGTCAAAACCAGCACCAGGAGTGTAACCTTCATGTATAAAGATGGCCTCGGCCCGGGCCTGGGTGTACTGAGCCGACAGTCTCTTCAGGGTACCCATCCTGATGTCCAAGGAGGAGGCAGCCGCCTTCTGTGTATACACCGCGTGAGCCGCGGTTAGGATCCAGTTGTCCCGCAGGAGGGCGCCCGCTGCCGTAGTCCGACCCAGTAACAGGACTTGCCAGGGAAAGTCCCCCAGCTTGCCTTCTGCCCCGTATCGACTTCTGTGGTGCGAGTGGATAGTCCACAAACTGGGGAAAGAAGCAGATACACAGCCCTCGTAGTAACCCACGGGCGTTACCTCCCCACGATTAGTGCCACGTTGATTCGGGTCTGACGTCACCCAGAGGTTGCAGGGGGTTATTTGGGCATCCACCTAGACAGGCAAGCGAGGCGGCTCTAAGACCGTTCAAAGACCCGATAAAACCTCTTGGTATTAGCTCCTCAGAAAATGAGGTGAGTGGAAATCAACTTTGAGAAACTGATCTGTTTTGCTAAAGTAATTTGGTCTACACGATTGGGAAAATTACTTACTAGGGCAAACAGGAATTGTCTGAGCTGATGTACTGGGTGATGTGATTAGAAAGTAAAAGGAAATGACCCTTTTCGTCGCTTCTGTTTTCCTACTTGTGATATTGGGTATTTACCTTGTAGTTCTGGGAAAGAGGAACTAAAGTCGCTATCCCAGGGTTTGAAAATTCCTTGCACCTTTGAACATCTAAATGTTTTAAAAATCCGAGTGTTGCACTCGTAGCCAGGAACCTCCAGGTCCAGGAATTCCTATTTCTGGTCTAGTTGATTCTTCCAAAGTAAATTTTACTGTGTTATCTGCTCATTAACGTAGCAGCTGTGTTTCTCCTTGTGGCAGAGAACTTGGATGGGACTCCGCGGAGGTTGTGTCAGCTAAGATGTAGGGTCTGTCTTTGAACTAAGCCAGATAATACAGGAGTAATGACTACGTTACTACCTTTCTGATGTTTTTTAATCACTGAACTCCACTATATCTCCAGAGCCAATTCTAGTAAAAAAAAAAAAAAAAAAAAAAAAAAAAAATTTAAGTACTATTAAAAGGCAAATTGCATTAATGTTTAAAGACTAGATGTCGTTGAAAACAATTGCTTAGGGAAATAATGAAGTTATTAGCTTTGGGTTTTAATAGCAGCTTTACAGAGAAGAAAAGCAGCTCCGCAGCAGAACTCGTGTTTATAAATGTATAAATGGTTCAAGATGATTTTTAAAATCATTTAATTTTTTATGCTTGCCTAGTTGTAAGGTCAGAAACCATCAAATGAATGACGCAGTCAGCACCTAGCAACCTCTCCGCCCAGAAGGGGGATAATGAGAACGTATTATCTGGAAATAACAACTTGGTCTAAGAGCCAAGTGCTGAAGTTCATTTCTGCCTACCGCAGCGAAAGCCCAGAAAGCTCCGCTATCGTCTCCCACCCGCTCCTACTTTCCATCAATCGCGAATCTCGTACAAACGTGTCCATTACCGGGCTCACAGACGGGGGGCGATTTTTCTCCTTTGGGGCCCGTCCAGAATCCGTCAGCCTCACACACATATTTACCTGCAAATCATTGGAAAAGCAGAAATGTGTAACTGCATGCGTAAGGTGGTTGTCATTTGCTTGAATACCCCCTTGAAAAATGTTGATTCTTGAGCATCAGTGGGAAATAGAGGTGTCTGAATAACCATTTTACATGATTTCATAAATAGGAGGTCTCTGCATTAACCATGTTTGCTTGCGAAGTGGAAACCTTTTAGACGTGTAACTTGAATATGTATCAAGATCTCAAGTGCTTAATGATAAGGTTTTGACTTGTTAAATTAAACCATTTGGAATATATTGTGTGTTTGCAGTAGTCATTTACTAGATAAGATCTGTTTTCAGATTCCTGCAAATTGACATTAAAGTCGCTCCAGCTGTGGTACTTCACTTAGCGGGTGGGAGAAGTGCCTTTAACCTCTCGTGTGGCCTTGGCCGCCCACCAGGTGTGCTCACCGTCGTCCGCGGTCATGGTCCTCGCGTAGAAGCTCCCGTTACAGCGGTAGCGGATCCCCGCTCTGTACGTGGTCACCCCGGGGCCTGTGAGGAACTCCACGCGGCCGGCGGGCAGGTCGTCGGGGGGGCCGCAGTCTACGGCTGGCACGGGAGGGCCGGTGGGTGAGCGGCGCGGCCCCCCGCGTCGGGCGTCTCCCCGGCACGATTTTAAGGCCTCCCCCCCCCCCCCCGTCGGGAAGCGCCTGGCTGCAGCGAGCCGGGGCCCCGGGGGTGCCCTTCAGAGCGGGAGGGGCTTGAGCCACTCGGGCTCCCTGTCGCCCTGGTGGGAGCCTCGAGGTGGCCGCGGAGCAGCCCTGCAGGGGCCCCGGGAAGCGGTCCTGGCCTGCGGCTGGGGCGGCCTGGGCGCGGCAGCACCAGCAAGGGCTTGGCCGCTGCTCGGGCTCCCCCCAGAGATACGTAGGACACCTCGCACCCGCGTGGGAGTGGGCGCTCGTGGGACGGAGCCGCTGTGGGGACTGCGGCGGGGGCACGGCCGCCCCGGGCTCCCCCGCACGCCGCTCTACAAACCCACGTGTTTCTCTGCGCGTCCTTAAGGGTCACGCTTAGTTTTCCGCAACTTCGGGGCTGTGCGGCTGGTCCGGCAGGCGAGCTGCTGCCCCGCGTCGGGTGGCCGAGCCGGGGCGCGGACCTGGCCCTCGGCTCCCAGCTCTGCCGCCTTCACTGAGAACGGACCAGCTCCCTGGTGAGCGTGAGTCCACGATCGGAGGATACGCAGGTCCCCAGCAGTTCTGGGGAAGCCTTTGCACGAAGTGTGCGCAAACCAGTAGTGAAGTGGGTTCGTGTTCACAGCCTCGGGATGGGGGGATGGGCCCCGAGTCCTCAGTGGTAGTTTGGGGATTTGGGCAAGAGGCTCTCACCCATGTTTTTGTGAATTTGTCCCAATTTACATGTATTTTCTAAGAAAAAAATATGGAAAAGACGTGATTCTTACAGAACGGGAATGTCCGCCCTCACCCCAGCTTGGTGAGCCCCGTCCCTGCAGCTGGTGCCTGCACGTGTTTACACGCGTGTGCGAGACGTGTGTGAGGAGGGACGTGGTAACGGCGGCCTTCTGGGCATGAGGGGGTCTGCTGTTCGGTTTCCCATCCTCAACGAATGTTTTACACTTGGAAAAATATGTTTTAAGGGTCACACTATTCCAAAGGCAATGCTTTGCCTGGTTACGTGGTCCCATCCGAACCCGTAAGAGCACGAGACGCCGGGAGCTGGGAACGGAGCCCGGGCGGACCGCGTGGGACAGAAGGCGGCAGCGGAGGACAAGCAGGACGCGGGAGCGGCCGAGGCCTTACCGCTGCAGCGCGGCGGCGGCTGGTCCCAGGACCCGTCCCTCTGGCACACGGCGGTGAAGGATTTCAGGGCCGAGGAACCCTGGACAGGCGTTCAGAGGACATTACTTCCCTGGTTTCCACCACGACGCCCCCCTGTGCCCGGCGGCAGCTCCCTGGGCACCCGACGCACCCCCGCTGCCCGGTGTCTGTGCTCACTTGTCCCACGCCCCAAGGGCCTGTCCCCTGTGGCTAGAGCCGCCCTTTCAAGGTGCCGCTGGCCCCATGGGAGCCGGATGTCGGCCTCTGCAGCGATTTATGACCGTCCCCCGCTTCCACCGAGTCCAAGGACAATCAGGCCTCACAAGATCCTGCTGCGTTTGCCACCATTTCTTCACAGAAGGTGCCAACGGGTGGTGGCCGAAATTTGGGGAAGGCCGACCCCCTCCAACGGGGAGCAGAAGTGCCGGGGTTTTCCTAGGCCCTGGCCGTTACCTGGAGGACAGTCACTAAAAATACGCTGGTGGCCTTCACAGGTGCGCCGTGTTTATGGCTGGCACCGCGCACGGGCACGGGCACGGGCACGGGGATGCTTTGCTCTAAAGGCCGTGAAACATCACCTTGGCGGAGGGGCCTTTACGCCTCGCAGGACGGCGGGCTGAGGGCTTTCCCCAGACCAGACACGGAAGAGGTCGCGGTCCCAGGGGCTACGGGAAGGAGCCTGCGCCCGACACTCCGCAAGGCGGGGAAAGTGCCTTTTTTTTTTTTTTTTTTTTTTTTTTTTTTTTTTTGTGGCTTGGCCCCTCCGCGGGGCGGGCTGAGCGGCCGCTGTCAAGCGCGTCCGTGTTATTACTTTCTGCCGCTGGGATTCAGTGACAATTTTGAAGAACATAAAGAGGACGCGTTAAGCTCCCACCTGCGCCCCTAAAGCAACGTGCTAAGCATTTTTCAAAATTGTCCTCCCCCTGCCGGAGCAGAGGTCACTACTTATAACCTCGCGGCCTGCAGTTGCCCGCGGCCCGCAGCAGGTGCACGGCGGCGCCCGCCTCCCTCCCACGAGCTGCCGCGCGGCGTCCGCAGGGAAACGTCCGTGGTGACCGGCAGCTTCCACTCGGGCCTTTTGAAAGCTTTTCGGATGAGGGCCCGAGCCCGGGCATGAAGGCCCTCGGCCGCCCGCGCTGCTCGGCGCCGGCCCAGAAGCCGCCACTTACCCGGAGCAGCTCGTACCCGGGGTCGCAGGACACGGCCACGCGGTCCTCCAGCACGTACTCGGCTTGCACGGGGGCGATGCGGCCGTTGGGCGGCGCCACGGGACTGGGGCAGGGCCGAGCTGCGGGGGACGCGGGCTCAGGGCCACCTGGAGGGGAGCGCCCGGCCCCCCAGCGCCCTGGGCCTCGGTGGCCGCCTCTGTAAGCCGGCGACCGGGGACCGGGGACCGGGGACCGGGGACCGAGGCCAGCCCCTCCCGGGCCGAGCCGACGGCCGAGGCCGCGCAGCTGAGCTGCTGTCTCGAGCGCCGGGCGGGAGCAGCTGCGGGCGGCCCCCAAACAGCCCTCGGCCCGGGGTCCACACAGCCGCCCCGCAGAGGCCCGCGCTCCCCCTGCACCCTGCGGCCTCCAGCCCGGCCGCCGGCGTGGGCCTTCGCGAGGCCCCTTCTCCCTCCAGCAGCTGGTGCCCTGCAGGCCCGAGGCCCGTCCGCAGGCACAGCCCCGCGGGCCGCCCGCGCCGCCTCCCTCCTGCACCTCCCTGCCCCCACCGGCCTCAGGCCCGTCCTGGCCCTTCCCCCCTGGCCAACCTGATGCCCCAGCACCGGAGCCGTGGGAGTCTCACTGCTCTGACCGCGGGGAAAACGAAAGACTTTCCAGAATGACCAGGACACGGGGTTCTCCCTGCTGGACTCCCTCCTCCCAGCCAGTCCCGCCCCTTCCCGCATTTCCAACAGGGGTGGCCCCACGGGTAATCTTTTTAAATCCAATTTTCTCACTTAAAAAAACTACTCCAATCCCTATAATCCAATTATCACTTCCCTGTGCCACACCCCGCACCCAGGGCCTTCCCTGCGTTAGCCCGTGCAAAACAGGCGTCCACCTTTTGAAGGAGACATTTCCTCACTTAGAATAATTGGGACATTAGGGCTCAGAGAAGTTATGTGAGAGGTTCGGTGTGGCTGGACACCCCAACCTGAGCTCCGACCTTCCTGGGTGGGTGGCTGGTTAGAGAGAGAGACGGAGGGAGGGAGGGAGGGAGGGAGGGAGGGAGGGAGGGATGGGTGGGTGGAAGGAAGCATGGAAGGGAGGAAGGAAGGATGGAAGGAAGGATGAAAAGATGGATGGATGAATGGATGCATACAAGAAGGGAGCCAAAGTAAAAGGAAAAAAAGGAGAGGTGCTCTTTCCCCTAAGAGAAGGTGATCTTGCCCAGAACAATCCTTTCTTTTTTGAAAAAAATATTTTAGGGCAGGCCGGTGGCTCAGCGGTTTAGCGCTGCCTTCAGCCCAGGGCATGATTCTGGAGACCCGGGATCGAGTCCCGCGTCGGGCTCCCTCTGCCTGTGTCTCTGCCTCTCTGTCTCTCTCTCTCTGTGTCTCTGTCTCTCATGAATGAATAAATGAGAGACAGAGACACAGAGAGGCAGAGACACAGGCAGAGGGAGAAGCAGGCTCCATGCAGGGAGCCTGATGCAGGACTCGATTCCGGGACCCTGGGGTCACGCCCTGAGCTGAAGGCAGACATTCAGCAGCTGAGGCCCCCAGGAGGCCCCAGTCCTTTTTTTTTTTTTGCTTATAATTCCCTGCCCCACCTCCCTTCCTATGAAAACCCTCCATTGTGTACAACTCCCTTTGGAGCTCCTGGTACATGGGATGCTGCCCAATTCACAGATTTTTTTTTTTTTTGAGATTTTATTTGTTCATGAGAGACACAGAGAGAGGGAGAGAAGCAGAGACCCAGGCAGAGGGAGAAGCAGGCTCCGTGCACCGGGAGCCCGACGTGGGACTCGATCCCGGGACCCCAGGGTCACGCCCTGGGCCGAAGGCAGGCGCCAAACCGCTGAGCCGCCCGGGATCCCCACAGATCATTTAATAAAGCCCATCAGATGTTCAGATTTACTCAGTGGAATTTTGTTTTTTGTTTTTGATGAATGGACGCGAAGGGCAGCAGGACACGCCCCTCCAAAATACGCCTCTTCAGGGGCGCCCGGGGGCGTCAGTCAGCTAAGCATCCGCCTCCAGCTCGGGGCAGCATCCCGGGGGGCCTGGGATCGAGCCCTGCCTCTGGCTCCGCACCTGGGGGGCCCTGGGGGGCGCCTGCTTCTCCCTCTCCCTCTGCCTGTCGCTGCCCCTGCCTGGGCTTGCTCTCGCTATCAAATAAATAAAAATCTTTTAAAAAATAAACAGAAAGTGCCTCTTTGGCGCAAGGGTTATTTTGGGCTGATGTTTTCAGAAACAGCAGATGCAGGAGAAGCTCTGAACACAGAGGAGAAGGTCTCCTTTTGTCAAGGGACTTTCTATTCACGAAGGAAACGTCCGTGTTGCGAGAGCGGCTCCGTCCCCGTAGCAGGGGGACCACTAGGCACAGCCACGACCCCCTGCAGGCGGCGGGGCGACCTTCCCTCCGCTCACGGCCCCCCAGCGGGCTCCCCCGGGCCCTCCTCTCTGTTGTCTTTAGCTGAAGCCGGTCCTGACGCCCGAGTCCTGGGTCCCGTGTCCCTGGGGGATCTCCCCCGTCTGCACGACACACGCACCTTAACAAACTGGCTCCCCGTACACTTGCCGTGACTTTCCTTTTTCCCACGACTGTGTCCTCTGAAACCCCACACACGAGTCCGCGGGCCTCACTCTCCCTTTGGGCCTTTAGCTCCCCATGAGGCCCCCCGGGCCCCGCCACCCGGAGCGTCCACTGCGTCAGCCTGGATGTCGCTCTCCCGGCCTCCCGGTGACCCACCCTCTCCGTGCACCTTTGAGACCGGCCCAGGACCCTAAGAGGCGGGGGAAGCCCTCCCTGCCCCGCGCCCCCGGCCCTCACCCGAGCTGCTGTAGCGGATCCTCCAGCCCGCGTGCTCCCCCGACTGATCGGTCACAAAGCTGATGGCCACGGCGCTGCTTTGGGTTTCGATCCTCTGGGGCAACGTCGTCCCGCAAAACGGCCCATATTCCTCTTTGTCTGTTCGGACCTGAAAGCGCAAAGGGCCGCGTCACCCGAGGACCCTCCAGGGCCGGATGAGGCCCGAGGTCCCGGAAGCTGACCTTGAGGGAGTCGTAGGGGCACAGGGCGTCGGGGTGCGTCTCCACGTCGAAGGGCGCCTCGAAGTCCAGGACGATGCTGAAGCCCTCCTCCAGGTGGATGCTGTAGGTGCAGCTGGAGAGTTTGGGGTACGGCTGCGGGTATTCAGGGCTGCTGAGCACCCCCGACCGGCCGGTGAAGACCTGACCTGCGCACAGGGCTGAGGGGACGGGCCGCCGTGAGCGGGTTGGCTCGCGGCTCCAAATCACACCGGACCCCCCACCCCAGGGCCGAAGGAACCATCTAGAGTGTCTGGGGCTTCCTGGCTTTGGCCGAAACGGGCGGCACTCCGAGGCACGCGCTCCGGGCCCGCTCACACCCCCGGGGGCTCTGGGGGTGAAGAAGTGAGCGACGTCGACTCCCCAAGGGGGCAGGACGGAGGGGGGCCCTCGTCCACCCCCCCCGCAACTCCCAAATTCACCCTCCACGGGGCTCCTGCGCACCCGCACCCAGCTCGGGCCGGCCCACCTTTCCTGGGTGCCCGCGGGGAGCAGAGGGGCCCCCCTGGGTCCTTCCCGTCCCACCCTGCGCCCGGCCCGGCTCTGGGGGTTCGTCGAGGGAATTTCGAGGGAATTTCAAGTTCACGCGGAGCAAAGCACATCCCACGCCCCTTCCCCGGCCACGGCTCGCACCACCGCCCGCCCCGCCCCAGGCTGCCAGCTGAGCCGGGAAGCTTCCGGAAGGGAGGTGTGGCCGTCCTCCCCCTGGCTGCTGCCCCGGGACGTGGGGGCCCAGGCCGCCCCCCCGTGGCTGCCCCCGGGCTCTGGGCCGTGGGCCGGGCTCCGGAGTCCTCCCCTGCGCAGGAGCCCGCCCGAGGGTGCTCCCGGCTCCGGCCCCGGGACTGGGGAGCACTCGGGCCTCCCTGCGAGCTCGGCCCGTGCGGGCCTCAGGGCCCGTCTCCATAATGGACTGGGGGTGCTGGGCAAGCCTTTCTGGCAAACCGGCCTGTGGCCCCACGGAGGGGTCCCACCAACTAAGCCTCACGCCGGGTGACGGGGGAAGGGGAGGGGCCAGGGCGCACCCCACTGCCCTCGCCCCACCGCGCCACCCGAGACACGAAGCAGCTGCTGGAGGCCGAGGCAGGTTTATTGTTAGGTCTGCGGAGGGGTCGGGGGGGGGGGGGCTGCAGGCGGCAGCGATCTCGCCCGACCCAGGCGGGAGCCGGCGTGAGGCTAAGGGCTCTGCTCTGGAAGAGAGAACAGAGACAGGGAGAGACACTGGGGGAGACGCGGAGTGGGGCAGGCGGGGCTGCTCCGAGGCTTGGGCCGCCGCCTCCCCGGGGCCCCCCGGGCTGCCCATCGGGGCACCTGGCACCTGGCAGGAGCTTGCAGGGGGCGGGGGGGGGCAGGCGGGAGGGGCCGAGGGGGGGCCTTGGAGCACGGCCTGCCCCCCCCGGGGGGTTTGTGCGGGAAGCTTGAGCCCAGCCCGTTCCCCAGTCCTCCACCTGGGAGCGCGAGGGGGCAGGTGGCAGTACAGGGCCCAGAGCTGGACACAGGTAGGGGGCAGCACGGGGACTCCATGAGCGCGCTGAGGGGCAAGGAGGGGGAGCCGAGGATGGAAGGGGGGCGGGGGATTGGGCTGTGGACGGATGGACGGGCAGGAGGGGCCAGAGGGGCTGGAGTGGTCCCTCCAGGCCCCCGGGCAGAGCGGTGTGGCCTTGAGGAGCTGCCTTGTGGCCAAGGTGGGGGCTGGGCACCTTCCCAGCCGGGGTCCCCGGGCAGGTGCAGCTCACCTGAGCAGGTGCGCTTGTTCCTGTGGAGAATGTAGCCCTGGCGGCAGGAGCAGTAGAAGCCACCCAGGTGGTTGTGGCAGTGGTGGTCGCAGGGCGGGGCCTCTCCCGGGGGCACCTGGCACTCGTCGATGTCTGGGCGGGGACAGGTCAGCCGGGCGGTCAGAGGCGGCAGGTGAGGCCGCCCTGGGGCCCGGGGGCAGGTGTCTGCTCGTGCCCGAAGGTGGCTGCCGCGCGAGGCCAAGCCTTTTACGCCCAGGTCGTCACATGGCCCTGAGGACACTCCCTGGGCGGTGGATGCGGGAGCCCCAGTGTCCTGCTCATGGTCACCGCGCCAGTGGGTGGCAGGAGCCGCGGTCAGACGGCCGAGCGGGGTGTGACCCGGTGCCAGCGGGTCCCGCGTGGCCTCCTGAGGAGCAGAGCAGGGGGCCCGGCCCGAGGTCTCACCCCTCCCGCCCCCCCCCCCCGCCTCACCCTCTGCCGCATAGAAGGCCTCAAAGCCCGTGAAGGGCTGCTCGTTGGAGTAGTCGGAGCGGAAGGTGACGTCCAGGCTGGAGCCCGGCGAGCGGAAGGTGTCGTTGCCCGGGGCCCGCTCGGTGTCCGTGCTCTCCTGGCCGCACAGCGTGGCCAGCACCTCGGTCCCTGAGCTCAGCTGCGGGGGGGGGGTCGCGGGGGGGCGGTGCTGGTGGTCTCCCCCCGACCTCCCCGTCCCCCCCACTCCCCGCTCCCAGGACCCCGTCCCCCGCCCACAGGGTCGCGGTCACCCAGCGGCACCTTGACAAAGTCGTACTCGCACAGGTAGGAGAGCTCCAGGTGGAAGTGGGTGAAGTAGAGGCGCAGGCGGTAGCCGGGGGGCGCCGTCAGGGCCCAGCGCCGCTCCTGGTGGTTGGCGTAGGCCCCGGGGAAGCCGGGGGACGCCAGGCGGCCGAACAGGGGCTGCGGCCACGTGGGGCCCGGGGCGGCGGCCGCCCAGCCGCCCAGCAAGCCCAGGAAGAGCAGCAGCCTGCGGGCAGGGCGCGTGAGGGCCGCGGGGGGCGCCGGGAGCCCCCACCCACGGGGGACCCCGGGCCGCTCACCTCATGGTCCCGCGGCGCTCGGTGCCTCACCTTTGCCCTGTTTGCCCAGCGCCGGGCCGCCTGGGATTCCGGGAACTGGCCCCGTGACCCCGCGGGGCTGTGTCAGGCGTGGGGACAGGGCGCGCCAGGAGGCGGGGGCTGGACCCGGGCCACGAGCCCCCGGTGGGCCTCCCGAGGCCGCGGGGTGGGGGCCACGGTGAAGGCGGGACGAGCTTCTGGGTGCAGGCGAGCACGGGCGCCTCTGCTCCCCCTCCTGCGTCGACTTCCCCCGGGACAGGGACGGGGACACCGGGCAGGAGGCGGCGTCACCACTCGGAAACGGAAACGATGGACACGGGGGGAACCGGCCTCGGGAAGTGACTCCAGGTCGGCAGGGGAATCGGGAACTGGCTCGGGAATCGCCAAGGCCCCAAGTCCTCCCCGGGGCGTCAGAAGCTGCCGCCCCCCCCCCCCCCCCGTCCTGCCCCGACCCCTGCGGGAGCCCGGGCAGCTGGGATGAGGCCCGGCCACCGCGCAGGGACGTGTGACGAGCACAGGGCCGAGCGCGAAGGAACCAATGTCGAGGCCCAGCCTCCCCCGATTCCAGTCCGAGAAGCCGGCAGCCCCCGTCCCTGGGCGGGCGTCCCCTGGCCTGGACCCCCCAGCCCAGACCCCCCCAGCTTGGATCCCCCTGGCCTGAAACCCCTGGCTCCGACCCCCAGCCTGGACCAGGGGGAAGGACGCCCCCTGGGAACCTTCTCGCGGCGAAGGGCTGGGCGGCCCCCGCGGTGGGGGCAGCGCCGGGCTCCCCCGCAGGAGCAGAGCCTGAAGGGAAACCTCGGAGCGAGCAGGCCCGGAGCGGGGAGGGGGAAGCACCCCAAACCGAAGTGAGGCAAACATTACTATCTTCAGAGGGAAAAGGGAAACAAAAATAGCAAACAGCCTTCAGGGCGGCCCGGGGGGCTCAGGGGCTTGGCGTCGCCTTCAGCCCAGGGCCTGATCCTGGAGACCCGGGATCGGGTCCCACGTCGGGCTCCCCGCATGGAGCCTGCTTCTCCCTCTGCCTGTGTCTCTGCCTCTCTCTGTCTGTGTCTATCATGAATAGATAAATCTTTAAAAAAAAATCATGACAGAGAAACACACATTATGTATATTGATATTTCCTGTTAGTGAATATTCCATTAAGTGGGATCAGAATTAACTGTAAATTATAACGGGGTGAATACTAGGATCTCGTAACAAAAAAATTGATTAGCGCTATGTGCAGGCCCTCATGACGTGTATGGAGTCAAAAGATCTTATTTTTTTTTTAAGATTTTATTTATTTATTCATGAGAGACAGAGAGAGAGGCAGAGACACAGGCAGAGGGAGAAGCAGGCTCCCTGCAGGGAGCTTGACGTGGGATTCGATCCCGGGACCCCAGGATCACACCCCGAGTGGAAGGCAGATGTTTAACCGCTGAGCCCCCCACACGTCCCTGAGCCCAAAGATCCTTTTTTTTTTATTAAATTTTTTTAAATTTTATTTATTTATGATAGTCACAGAGAGAGAGAGAGAGAGGCAGAGACACAGGCAGAGGGAGAAGCAGGCTCCATGCACCGGGAGCCCGACGTGGGATTCGATCCCGGGTCTCCAGGATCGCGCCCTGGGCCGAAGGCAGGCGCCAAACCGCTGCGCCACTCAGGGATCCCGAGCCCAAAGATCTTAAAGAGTTTTTGAGATTTGGTAAAAAGTTCAGGGCTGAGCTGGTGATGAATTTATTAAAAATGACGCAAATGCGAAGCTGCGCCTCCGGGGGAACAAGAAGCGGAGCAGGACGTGGGGTGTCTGGGTCCCGGGCCAAAGCCGAGGTGGGGCGGCCGCGGGGCCGCAGGCAGGGTGGGCTCAGGGACGGAGAGGACCGACCCCAGCCCCCCGCAGAGGGTCACCAGACTGGGGGGAAGAGGAGACCGACGTGGGGGAGGCCAGAGGCGTCGGCGGGCCGAGGGGCGCGGGCGCCTTCCTTCCGACGACCCCCCCACTGCCGGGGCCCTGGAAGCGCGGGGCTCAGGGGTGCTCGGATCCGAGCTCGGGCTCCACGTGGGGCGCAAACCTTAGAGCAACAAACCCCGAGAAGCTGTAGGTGGGGCTGGTCACAGCCTCGGGGGCCGGGATCCCTGGGAACTCTGGCCGGGGCCCTGCCTCGCTTCAGCGTCAGCCCGTGTCTACACCACGTCCGCGGGCTGTGGGGCGTCGGCCCCTGCGCGTCCCCTTCGGGGAGGCTGGCCTGAAAGCCGGGGCCGCAGGGAGACCTGCTGCGGGCACCTTCGGCGCCCGGCTCGGCCCGACCCGACCCCCTGGGGGCCGCCGCTCCCCTCCCGCCGATGGGTGGTCCTGGCCCAACCGCGTGACGTCCGCTTAACGGGCCTGTCACCGGCTGGGCTCCCGGGGCCCGAGGGACAGGGTGGCAGGGCCCGGAGCCCCTGGGGGCAGCGCCCTCGGCCGCCGTGGTGGCCCTGCTGGGTCCGGGGCAGCCGCTACTCCGCAGGGGCAGCTGTGGGCTCAAGGGAGGACAGCTGCGTGGGGTCACGGCCCTGCAAGCGGCTGCCACGTCGTCCTTCCACAGACACCCGGGCGTGCGGCCCACGCGTGCCGAGCCTCTGCCTCACGCCCCTGGGTGGGGAGACCCGGGAGCAGCGTCCTCCCCAAGCCTGGGGCTGAGCTTGTTCCAGGGCTGGGGCGCAGAACGACGAAGCTCACCTGCCACGGGCCAGAGGGGGCTCCAGGTCGTGAGGGGGGGCGTGGAGCCCAGGGAGGGCAGCGGCTCAGGACGTGGGGCCGTCGGCGCCACCCACCCCACGACAGCCACAGTCCCAGGCCCTGGACGCCGCCGGGTGTGCAGTGGTTCCCGGGGCAGGTGCGGGTGGATGGTGTCCCGGGCCCCGCCCCCTGCTGGGGCCACCCCCCCTTCCTGCCAAGTCTTCGGGGTCAAGCCGTCCAGGTGAAGGGCTGGGGAGGCCAGCTTTCCCGAGAGTAGGGCCCCCTCCTGCAGACCCCAAGACATGCGTGGGCTGGGCCCTGCCACCCGCACCCTGAGGTGGCGGCGCCTGAACCAGGGCAGGTCGCGGGGTCAGGAGGGCGCGGGCGTGGCCCTGGGCAGAGGCGCAGGTTCAGGACCTTGGAGAGGGCTCAACCCCGCGGCGGCCGCACCTGCCCCATCCCCTGGGGGCCGCTGGATCTCGGGGAGCGCACAGGGGCAGGATCAGAGCCAAGTCAGGGCCAGGTGATGGGACCCCAGCCACGCAGCAGCGGCGGCCCCCCGTCACCTCCAGCGTCACCGCCACCCCCAGGGTGGGCCCTGACAACCTTGCAAGTGACCCCAATTCCTCGGAGACAACACAGTCCCCGAGGGGCCCCACCGTGATCTCAAGCCCGCACCCCGGGCCAGGCTGTCCCTCCATCCTCCGTGGGGCTGGGTAAAGGAACGGCCAGGGTCCGTCTGGTGACCGCTGCGGCCCCTGGCGCCACGAGAGGCCAGCCCAGGGATCCCCAAGGACCCCCAGGGAGGGCCGGGTCTGCCTGGGGACGCGGGGTGGACACCGAGAGGCCAGGTGGTGGCCGGCTCGGAGCCCCACACGCCGCGCCCGACAGAGGCCGATGTGCCACCTGCCCCGGCCCCACTCAAGGTCTGGGGACACACGATTAGAATTTGTTATAAATACACGTGTTTGGTGAGTGAGGGCGACAGAAGGTGGAGAAGGTGCTGTACACAGCTGGTCGAGGCTCGGAGGTGGACGCCACAGACAGACGGACAGTCCGCCCAGCAGGGCAGCCGGGGCAGCATCTGGGGCCTGTAACACTTGCTTGGTGGGCACGCCGGCGGGTGGGGGTCGCGTCCAGGGCTCGAGGCGCCCAGCGCCCCGGAGGCTCCCGCGCAGCACGGGCAGCGGCGCCCGGGCTCAGCTCACGTCGTTCAGGGCCTGGGGGGACACAGAGCCTCATCAGGAGGACGCCGGGCCGCGTGAGGGCTCAGGTGGGCCCTCGGGGGGCCCCGGGTCCCCTGCCCGGCCCCGCCGCGGCCCACCTTGCGGGCGAACTCGGGCAGGACGAAGGCCGCCTGGTGCACGTCGGAGTTGTAGTACTTCAGCTGCATCTGTTCCACCTGCTTCTGTGTCAGCTGCTGCACAGGCTTCTGGAAGTCGGTGCTCTGGGGCGGGGCACGCGGCCATCAGGGGGGGCGCTTCCGGCGCCCACCCAGTCCCCTCCCGGCCCCAGGAGGCAGGAGGGCGCCCAGCTCACCGGGTTTTTGCTGCACAGCATGAAGCCTATCTGGCCGCTGGGGTAGGTGGGGATGGTGCAGTAGGCGTAGGCCACCACGGGGAAGAGCGACTTGCAGAACTGCCGCATCTGCTTGATGAGGTCCAGGTGCAGCCACTGACACTCGCCTGCGGGGAGCAGGGGCCTGAGCGCCAGCCACCCGCCCCTCGTCTCCCGGGCTGCAGGACCGCGCCCCCCAGCCCGTCCCCCAGCTCATCCCCAGCCTGTCCCATCCCCCCATCCTGCTCACCCCCAGTCAGCGCCCCCATTCCCCCCACCGTGTCCCCCAGCTCATCCCCCAGCCCGTCTCCACCGCTCACGCCCCTCCAGCCCGCTCACCCTGGCAGCAGAGGACGCCGTTGTCCTTGAGGGCTGTCTTCATGAGCTGGTAATAGGACTCCTTGAAGAGGCTTTCTGCAGGGCCTGTGGCGGCGGGGACAAGGGACAGGAACACGCTGTTGCCCCACAACAGACCCATGCGGCTGCCACGGGGGCAGGGCCGGGATTTGCGTCCTGCTCTGTGGATTCAAACCGACCACCAAGGGGATGCTTGGGAGGAGTGCAGGGGGGTCCAGTGGCTGCTGTCTGGGGGGCTCCATGCTTCCATCCCATTCGTGGGGTTTTCTCAGGTGTCAGGGACTGTCCACCCTGGGCCCTGGGTGGGGACTAGCTCCCACCCGCGCCCCGATGCTGCCTATTAAGAGCAGAGAGGAGACCGGAGAGGAAGCTGGGGCCTCAGTGGGCCACGGCCAGAGTCCCCCTGTCCCGTCAGTGTGTGACCTCGGGGTGGTGGCGTGTGCTCCCCCCTCGGCTGGGCCGCGTCTGGGGCTGGCTACAGAGCAGGGACGGGAAGGCACAGCTCTAGCTCTGGGTCGTCTGTCATCCACTGCGGGCGCGGAGGGAAGGCCAGCCCCGCTCACCCATGGGGTCTGACGAGTCCGTGATGATGACGTCAAAGGCATCCTGGTTCTGCTTCATGAACTCAAAACCGTCGCCCACGTGTAGGGTCAGCTTGGAGCTGGAGTAGCCCACGGCCATGCCCGGCAGGAACTTCTTAGAGACCTGGATGACGTCCTGGGGACGGAGGAGGGACCTGGCTGGGCCTGGGGGGACCCGCAGCCGCCCCCACAACCCGCCCACTTGGGCAAGCCAACGGTTTGTGGCAACCGGCTCAGGGATGGGGGGCCGGCCCCTGCCTGCGCCTCGGCCCATGTCCTACTGCCCACCTGTCCAGTCCCAGTGACTTTCTGGCTGTGTCAGAGGGAGGAGGACCTTCCGGCCGCCCACGGTCACCTGCTTCTCATCCAGGCCTCGCTGAGACCACCTGCCACCCCCCGAGCTGTGCACTGCCCCGCCTTCACCCCCGAGCCCTGTGCCCGCTGTGCCCTTGCCCCGGCTCGCCCTTACGGGCCCATCACGTCCAGGGGCCGGTGCAGCGACTGGACCTGGCCGTTCACACTGCACCCCGCGCCCTGGGCAGTGGCCGCCACGGGACAGACGCTCATTAAAAGCCCAGGCGTGGCACACAGAGCGTGGGGGCACGGGCAGGCCCGGCGCCTCCCCGACAACCCCGTGGGGTCGCACCAGGGACCGGCCGGGGCCTCGCCGACTGTGCACCAGGCCCCAGCGAATCCTCCCAAGGAGCTTCCGATTGGAACAAAGAGGCCGCGGGGTGGAGGCCGCGGGGTGGAGGCCGCGAGTGGCCGCCACCTCGGGGCAGGGCCGGCGTCCCGCGCCCCGCGCGCTCACCTCGTCGATCTCGCACTGCACCACCGACTCCACGGAGGAGTGCTTGAGCACCTCCCGCAGGACGCCCCCGTCGCCGCCGCCGATGATCAGCACCTAGGACGGGCTCAGTCAGGCGGAGCGGCCCCCCGGCTCCCCCGGCTCCCTCTCCCCCGGCTCCCCCTCCCCCGGCTCCCCCGGCTCCCCCTCCCCCGGCCCCCCGGGCCCTACCTTGCGGGGGTCGGGGTGGCTGCACAGCGGCAGGTTGGCGATCATCTCCTGGTACGAGAACTCGTCCCGCTCGGTGCACTGGATCACGCCGTCCAGCACCAGCACGTTGCCGTAGCTCTTGCTGGGGGCGAGTGACAGTCGGGCCGGGCCCCCCCCCCCCGCGGCCCCCGCGGCCCCCGCGGCCCCCGCCCAGGTCCCGGCGGACACGTGGCGGGCGGCGGGGCGGGTCCGACTGACGTGTCCGGGGCTGACACGTGGAGCGCGGCGCGCGGGGCCGGCGGGGTGTGCTCCCGCCCGGGGCCGCCCGAGCTCGGGGCCGCGGGGGGCGGCGGGGGGGGGGGGGCGCGCCCCAGAGCCCGACGGAGCTGCGGGGGGGCGGGGCGGGGCGGGGGCCGGCGCCGGGGCCGGGGCCGGGGCCGGGGCCGGGCGGGCGGTACCTGCGGAAGACGAGGATGTCCTGGTACCGCGAGCGCTGGTGGTGCAGCAGCTGCTCCACCTGCAGCGACAGGGCCTGGCCGGGCCACAGGCTGCACGTCTCGCGGAACCAGCCCTCGTGGATGTCGGCGGGGCCGAGGCCGGCGGGGCCGTCGGGGCGGGGCTCCATGGCGGCGGCGGCGGCGGCGGCGGCGGCGGCGGCGGCGGCGGGGGCGGCGGGCCCGGGTGCAGGCCGCGCGGAGCCGCAGCACAACGGGAGCAGCTCCGCCCGCCGCCCGAGCCGCAACCTAACCCGGGCGCGGGGGCGGGGCCTCGGCGGGGGCGGGGCCGGGGCGCGCTCCGCCAATGGGCGCGCGGGCGCGGGCGCGCGGCGCCGCCGAGGCCCCGCCCCCCGGCGTCCGGCGCGCGCCCATTGGCCGGCGGGGCTCGGCGGCTGCGCGGGCGGCGGCGGCGGCAGCAGGCTAGTGCGGCTCCGGGGCCACGTGGGGCCGGGCCGGGCCGCTGCCGCCGGGGCCTGCCCGCGAGCGGCCGCCGCGCCCCGAGCGCCCCCGCCGCGCCCGCCCGCCCCCCCAGTTTCTGTACTTGCCAGCGGCGCCCGGAAGGGGCCGGCGCAGGCACGCTCAGCCCCGGGGAAGCCGGGCACGCGGGCTTTTTTTTTTTATTTTTTATTTTTTTATTCTAGAAACGGCGTTGCTCTTTGGAGGGTGCGCGGGAACGTGCTGCTTTCAGGAAAGTGTGCAGCCGCTTCTCGGCACCCCTGAGCTCGCTGACGACCCAGTATCAAGCGCTCACGGCTCTGCACGCAGTTGCCCGCGCGCCAGGGGAGGGAGACGCCGGGCGTGAGCTGCGGGGCGGCGGGGACGGGGACGGGACGGGGACGGGACGGGGTCGGGGACGGGACGGAACGGGGACGGGATGGGGGACGGGATGGGGACGGGGACGGGATGGGACGGGGACGGGATGGGACGGGGACGGAACGGGGACGGGACGGGGACGGGACGGGGTCGGGGGGACGGGGTCGGGACGGGGACGGGACGGGGTCGGGACGGGGACGGGACGGGGACGGGTCGGGGACGGGACGGGGACGGACTCCACGTGGAGGCGGGAAGCCGCCCCTGTGGGTGAGTGCGAACCCCGGGCTCACAGCTACAGTGTATCCTGCTGGAGCTAAGCTACTGTTAGGGAAGGGGAGCCAGGACAATAAAAGAGCCACTAGCACAGGCCCCACACGAGGCTGTTTTCGGAGCCGGGTCATTCAGGTAAGACACAGCCCCTCTGCCCAGTTCCCGCAGGCCTGTCCGGCTTCAGCCCTGTACTTACTTGGCTCGGGGTGTTTGCATCACAGCCTGTACTTCCGCCATCAAGACACTGACCCCTCTGAGCTGTGACGGCCTGTTCGCCGCTGCGTCCCCAGCCAGACTGTAGGCTCCAGGAGGCTGGGATGGTGTCCGGGGCCGAGCGCCGGCGGACAGGCTGAGCCGGTGCTGGAGGCCCGGGTGCTGGTCCCGGCACCTTGTAGTCAGCTGTCTTGGCTTTCCTCCAGGGACTGCACAGCTGAGCCCAGGCGGGCCCTGGCATTCCAGGATGGCCCCACAGCAGGGTGGGGGTGGGGGGCAGTGGGAGATCAAGTCCGTCCCACTCCTCTTGCAAGCTGAACAAAGCTGCTCCGGCATGTCTATGCTCAGGAGAGAAGGACCATAAATGACACCTTACCCCGTCCTGCAGGAGGTGAAACCGCGGTTTGGCCTCCACACCAACAGGGAATGGAATCTCTAGGACGGTGTCAGCAGTAGCTCAGACCTTCCGAGTCCAAAGAAAACAAAGACCCTGAAGAAAAGTACTGGCAGAAAGTCCCTAGATGTACAGGGCCACGATCCCATACATGTCGCTCAACTTCTGATCACAAGGAGCAGAAGCCTATGGTTGTGCCAGAAGTAACCGACCATCCCATCGCGGCCCAGTCACATTCACGACGGATACGGAGGAAACCAAGGCAGAAGGTGAACGCTTCCCCGAATTCAGACCGACGCGCAGCGAAGACTCAGTTGTGAGGCCGCGGGTCAGCACCCCAACCTGTCAGTGTGTGGGGACTTAGCGACGGGAAGGGGGGCGGGCAAACGGCCGAGGTCGGGGGCAGAGGCTGCGGTGGCTCTGCCGCAGGGCAGGTGTGGGTGCCGGTCACGGGGAGACTTCAGCAGCTGGCGCCGAGCGCAGTGTCCGGCCGGGCCGGCGGCCGGGGCTGCGGGAGCGCGTCAGCCTGGCCACTGCGCGGCGGGACTTGGTGCAAACGCTTGTGGCAGAGCCGAGGCACCGGACGGCGGCGCGCCCCCGTGGGCAGAGGCCCTTGCGGTCTCCGTCCGCCTCCAGCCCGCGGGCCCTGCCGCATCCCTCTCCCGGGGCTTGGAACTCCCGTGAAGGCCCTACAGCTCGTCTCCAAACGTCCCCAAGGCTCTTGTCTCCATCCCGTGGCTCAGCCGTCCTGGGCTTCGGGCTTCAGGGGCCAGTAACATTTCCAAGACCCGTCTGGGGACCGACCTCAGTTTGCCAACTCTTCCTTTCGCAAGGAAAGACATTTAGAAAGGCCTCAACTAGCACTGTCTATGGCTCCCATCTTTTTATAAAACAAACACAAAACACTGCCACGGAGACAAAACGAGTAAGGGCAAATTCCAAACAAAGGACAGAGAATGGGGCGCCTGGTGGCTCAGCAGTTGAGCTGAGAGAACCAGGGCGTGATCCTGGGGTCCCGGGATCGAGTCCCGTATCGGGCTCCCGCAGGGAGCCTGCTCCTCTCTCTCTGTGTCTGTTGTGAATAAATAAATAAAATCTTCAGGGAGAAGAAACCAACAACTAAGGACAAAGAACCCCCTTCCCTCTGTGAGAAACGGAACACGCTGTCTCCTTGCGGTTGTGTCACCTCCGGCCAGGGCTAAGCCCACCTGGGCTGCTCAGCAGGGCCCGGGGCACACGGCCGGCCCCACTCTGGAGGCTCTCCGAGTTCTGCCAAGGGCACAGCGTGCGCAGCCCGGCTCCCGGGGCCCCCGTGCCGCCATCCCCTGGCAGAGTCCACACTCTTGAGTGGCAGTAATGACAAGGTCCTCTGGATTTTCTCCCCTGCTCATCAAGGTCCAACCCAGACGGACCTTTCATGAAGTCTCCTCAGGCCATCCGCAGGAGAAAACCATTTTTCACTCTTATAAATTCCCATCTGTCCTTTTTTTTTTTTTTTTTTTTAATTCTAGCAGGGACTCTGCCATTTTGGGGCAGACGGCTTATTGTTCCTCATGTCTCTTCTCTCCAAATTCTGTACCAGAACTCTGGACCCAGAGGGGCTCATGGACACTGAAATGACTTTCCCAGCAGCCTCTGCCTGGTACGTGACTATGTGCCGGCCCACGGAAGTGCAAACGGGCTGCATCCTTTTTTTTTTTTTTTTTTAAAGATTTTCTTTATTTATTCATGAGAGACACACACAGAGAGAGGCAGAGACACAGGCAGAGGGAGAAGCAGGCTCCATGCAGGGAGCCCGACGTGGGACTCGATCCCGGGACTCCAGGGTCAGGCCCTGGGCCGAAGGCGGTGCTAAACTGCTGTGCCGCCCGGGCTGCATCCTTTAAAAGGGAGACCAGGTGTGCATCTCCTCCTTCCTTCCTTCCAGCTGAATGGAATGTGGATGTGATGGACGGAGCTAGGCCAGCTACCTAGCCCATGAGGTGGGTGCCCCGGGTTCCAGGTGAAGACAGAAATGGAACAAGAGCCAGAGTGGGAACTGCCAGCGGCCACACTAGCTCTGGACTGAGACTGAAGAGAGAAGGAAAGCATCTGCTTTGCTAAGTCACCGAGAGTCTGGCTTTTCTGTCCGTTGCAACCATTCTAGTCCTAACTGGTCCAAACTTCAGCCCGTGTTGGGCCTGGGCTGCTCGCTGGCAGCAGGGCGACGTCGGGATCCATGCCCCCCAGGCTACTGCACGCACAGCCAGCCCTCTCACTCATCTGTGAGAAAAGCTTCTAAGAAAATACGTTAAGTGTCTGTGAAAACAAAACTAATGGCATCATCTTGTGCTTTCTGGCTTCAATAGCCCTCCCAGGGTTAAAATCAAATGGAATTCTGAACGAGCTCCGTGCCACGTTACTACGAAGGATACCAAAATGGAAACCTACGTGCTCAAAAATGGTGGTGGGGCTGGAGTGAATTTTGGGATGAGAAAAGATAGAACCTTGGAAAGTGAAAACCTGTAGAAACATACACCCGAGTTCAGAAATGAAAATACACGTGGCACAAAGCACTGACACCAGAGTGTGAACGCTGCCCTCGGTGTGGTGGGATCACAGATGACGCGGTTCTTCTCTTTTCCTCATTTCCTACAGCGAATGTGCTATTACTTTTTTAGTTGGGAGAAACAATGTTGAAAGCAGAAGGGAGCGAGACAGGAACGGGGAGGAGAGCCGGCCCTCTGGAGGCCACAGCCGGCTCTAGAGCTCCACCAGGAAATCCTCTGGGGTGTTTGTACCTTGTGGCTTCACTGGCAGGACCTGAAGGCACGTGACAGGCCGCCCTGACGTCCTGACAATGGAGAGTTCGTGCTCCCGCCTCGTGGACGCGCCCTTCTGAGACCCTGGATTTCTCCAGAGATCGCAGCGTCCTCAAGGGCACACTTACCCACAGGCAACTGAAGACGGTGACCTGAACAGGGTGGGGTCTGTCCTCTCCTGCCGGGACTGTGGTGGCAGCAAAGGAAAAGTCAGGAATCCCCCTTCTTCCAGTAAGAATTATCTTTAATGGCTTAAAAATGAGTCTGTACAAAACCAGCACCCCCATTTGGTGCTTGCGGTCCGCTGGGGAATTCCAAGGGTCTCCTCCAACACTATCTCTTTGGCCAACTGTGCCTGAAACCCCTGCAGAGACAGTGGGAAAACAAGAGTCACGTCTTCCAGTTTGGCTGGAGGCTTATTCTCGGCTCGTTTACAAAGTGCCGCAAACCTTACTAACCCACAACCGGCGGAGGCGGAGGCGGAGGCATGGTGTGTTCGGGGCTCCCGCAGAACGGGGCTGGGCGGCGGCGTGACCCCCACGCCCGGGGACGGAGTGCAGTGCGCTGGGGAAGTGCCCTGGGGCCCCGGAGCCGGGCTGCGCCAACAGATCTAAGGGCAGTTTCCCTCCTCCGCAGGCCACACCCTAGGGGTGAGTCCTGGACTCCAGGCTTTGCCCCGAGGAGGTGGGTTTCATGTTTTTAATGGAAATATTCTTAAATGACAACCCGCATTTACTTACGGAGTTTTCCCTTCATTCCTCAGAAACAGGCAGGGCTGGGAAAGCTCTGAGCCTACGTGCTTCGAGGCGACCCGGGAAGCGGTACGGTTATAGGCAGTGAGTGACGGGGTCTGCGTCCTGGGACGCGGCGACGGTCGGGGTGCCACTCGGCCGGGCCCTCCCCTCCGCCTGCCCCGGCTTCCAGAGTGACAGAGGGGCATCTGGGTTCGCGGGGCCGCGCTGGCCTCGACCACGTACCTGTCTGACTTTCCGGTTGGAAAGGACATGCTTTTGTTTCCCGACTGTTTAAGTTTTTTGGGTGCGGCGCATTTCTGAAAAAGATAAAAAGCCATTTGGGCCCAGTGACAACCTGACCACAGGACACACAGGAAACACTCATGCGCCCAGCTGGCCCATCCAAGACTCCGGCGCCACCGGTGTGACCGGTTTTCTCGCAAATGGACGTTTCTGGGCGCTTCTGAAGGCTGGGCCGTCAGGAGGAGCTACTACTGCGAACAGGACGGCTCCACGCACGCCTCAGCCTCCGCAAGCCAAACCTGCGGCCACGCTTGGCTCCGACCGGCACCAACGCCCACGGGGGCAGATGCAGGCTTGTGCGGGCGCCCGGACAAGGGTGTGTGGCCTGCAGCTGTAATTCCCGCGGGAGCAAACAGAAACCAGCCCTGCAAACTCACACCCGCCTTCACAGCCTCTTCAGGTTTCTTTGATTGCTGGGATCGCTGACGGGTATTGCGTGTACTGGGGAGAGGTGAGGGGAGGGAAAGGATGTGCAGAGGGAGAGGGCTGCTGGCCGGGCCGCCGTCTTGCCGGCAGAGGAAGAGGGGAAAAGCACCGCGGGCACGCGAGCAGGTGGCAATTCTCACGGACGGGTTTCTTTTCTCTTTAGTGGCAACTTGTATTTTGTTTCTGAATTTTTAGGCAACGCACAGCTGACATACACGACGTCCTTAATTGTACGTGTCGGGCATATTTCTTACCTTGCCGGGCTGGGTCTGCTTATTTGGATCAAACTGGGAAGAAGGTTTGGATTTGCTGTTTCCTGGAAGGTAAGAGAGGCGATACCAGTGAGCGCAGCGAGGCCGACTGCGAGGGACTTAGGCTGACGCGGATCACGTGTCGCGTGCTCCGTCCCGGAGGGAGTCCCTACAGCAGGCTCGTCTGTCACGGGTCTGTCTCCATGCAGGGCAGGTGCTAAAGCGCCAGCTCCTCTTACTCCAAGGACGTCCGTGCTGGTCCCTGCACGCCGGCCATTCCGTGCCACTGGCAGTCACGGGGCCCCGAGACACAGTCCTGCCCTGCCCTCCCTGTCTTCCAGACAGGGGCTCCTCCAAGGTGGGTGGACTCAGGGCTAAGGGACCACGGAGCACCTCCCGGGCATCAGGTTTCTTCAGGTAACTCTCTGCCGTGTTTGTCTGAGAAAACGCGTTTCTGGGCTCAAGCTACCGTGAGGACACATGGAGTCACTACTGGAAAGGACGGCACCTTGCTCGACTACCAGGGTGGCCACGGTGACTCAGCTCCAGCGCAGGGCGCCATGGGCGGTGCCTTCTGTCCGGCCCCGCTTTCCCTGGACGGTGCGAGCCCTGGTGAGCCCTGCCTGCCCTGGGCTGCTCCGGTGCTGCCGTCTTCACTCCCAGCTCCCCCCCCCCCCCCCCCCACGGCCCGACACTCCTTGAAGGGCACCAGTCCCGGCCTCACCAGCAAAAGCCTTGAAGTCCGACTTGCTGTAGTCGTAAGGGGTGAAATCTTTTTCTGGTGGATCTGGGTCTTTGGGCTTCTTAGCAGTTTTGAGTCGTTTCTTCTCTTGTTTCTGTTCTGTGGTCCTCGGGTCACTTGTGGTTCGCTCCCTCTTCTTGGCGGCACTTTCTAGCTGTAGGTGGGAACACACCACGGGAAGGAAGCACGGGCGTGGAGGGACAGGCTGCGGACAGGCCTGCGAGCCCCCAGGCCTGTGCACCACTAGGGGGTCACCCGCCCGCCGTGCCGGCACCCGCGGGCTCGCGGACAGGGAGAGGGTTCTGGCGGCCGAGCTGGGCGGGGCTGGTGCCAGGTGGGACAAGCTCCTCGCGGGAGAAGGGCACCAGGTCATTGACAGGCAGGGGCTACGCAATCCGGGGGCTCGAGGGTGGTGGAGAATGGAACACATGCGGGGCAGAGCGGGACGCACAACAGGCTTGGCCACTAACGAGCGTCGGTCCCTTGTCTCCTACCAGAGTCAGGGGGACGGTCTATTTACTGTAAATCCAGCAAAACAAATCACCTAAGAGGAGTTCGGATGTAATCTTTTTTGAGGGGAATGAGGAGGCACCGACTGATAACCAAGAGGAGCTAGAAAGACGAATAAGCGTTATTTTGAAGTGCAGGGCAAGCCCTCCCGGTGCGTGGGGGAAATCCTGACCAGGACCAGGGGCAACTCCTTTCTCAAAAGAGAAAGCAGAGGAGCCAGCACGTACGGCAGCCTGCTGTCGGACAGACACGGCCTGCTCCGCGGTCGCTCTGTACTCTTCCTTGGCCTGGTCCCGGGCGGCTGCAAGAGAGCAGGGTCCATGGAGCTGCGGCCCCCAGCAGCCAAGCCTCCCCCCTCACCTAGCCGGGGCACCCCCCCGCCCCACCCCCTGCACAGCCCCCGGAGGACAGCCGCCTGGCGGCTCATCCCACCCTCGGCCCGGCCGTTCACCTGCCCCCCCCCCCCCCCCCCCCCCCGGGAACCCAAACCGGACACGGCCAGCCCGGTGGTGCCTCTCCGAGGACCTCTCAGAGGGGCGGCAACCAAAACACACCAAGGACCAGAACAAAACCATTTCCCCAGCGGGCTCTTGTGCGCGCTCACTCTGCGGCCGGCCACCCCGTCTAGTGGCTCAGGACCAGCCCTTCTGGCCCCCGCGGCTGCCCCTCCCTCCCCTGGGCCACACGCCAATCGGTCCTCACGCGCTGTCAGTGTCACCATGGGGCCCATCGGCTTCGGGCCACCTCTCACCACCTCTGCTACCACGCTGCACAACAGAGCACCTAGCACCTGGCCTCCCGCCCTCGCCCTCTTTGCTAGACCCTCCACGGTCCCCAAGGGGCTTTCTGAAGCTCAGTGCCTGTCACTGCTCCGCTCAAACCCTCCACAGCTTCCCAACCCGCTCAGAGTACAGGCCGCGTCCCGGCACCGGGTCCCGTGCCCCCCGCAGCCACGCTGTCCTCCGGGGCACCCTCTGCGCACGCCCGGCGAGGAGCCACCACAGGCCTTACACTCGGTGGGCCAACAGGACGGAGCACTCTTCCCCTAGAAGCCGCGGTCCTTGCGACTGTCACATTATCAGACCCGCTTCTGTAAACACCACGTGGAAGCAGCCACAGGGCCTCATGCCCACCCCGAGCACTTCCTACCCCGCTCCCTGCGGAAGCGCCATCTGGGGAACGAACACCACGGGTCCCTGACCCTATCCCCCAGGAAGAGGCCAGCGCACGGGGTGGGCAGGGGCTGTGCTTCGCCCCCTGTCCCGCCGGCACTTTGTGGAACAAGCAGAAGGATGTACGAGGCCCGTCCTCCGACAGACACTCCGATGGGCTCAGTCGCAAGAAATCGAGAGCTACCTGTTTGCTCCGCTGCCTTCTCCTTGGCAGTTTCTTTAGATTCTTTGTGTGCCTGTACCTGGCTTGCCAGCTTCCAACGGTTGCTGATCTACAATGAAAACAAACAAAACAAAAACACTCCAAAACTCAGCCACCCAGGAATGCTTTATTTTTTTAATGAGGCGATGCCGGGCGTGCTAACCTAGCAGCCACGCACACTCCAAGTCACAGATTCCAAGTCTGAGGACACAAAAAATAGAATCTCACGCTGGCTTTTATAAAATACTGATCAAGAGGACAAAGCACCACAGTATTCCCGGCACAGGGCCGGACGCCTTCCTGCTCATCCTCTCATCCAATCCCTTCTATGACCCCGGGAACAAGGCATTATCGTCACCCCCACTTTGAGACGGAAACAGGCTCTGAGAAGCTACGTTCTGACGGGACACGGTTAGCAGACGGTAGAGCTGGGCTCCAAGGCAGGACTCCTCAGGGCGAGAGTGCTGCCGGGATACCTCACGTGGCTGCGGTGTTAGAAGGCATCTCACAGATACGACAGCTGGCGTGGGAAGGTGTGCCTGGGAGCGGGCCACAGCCAGCGGGGGAGAAAGGAGGCAAAAAATCCACTGGACTCCCCACCGCTAAAGACAACAGCCTAACACCAGCGACGGGAGGGAGGGGGAGGCCCGTGCGGTGCCGCCTGCACTTGCTGCCTAAGGAGAGCGCCGGGCAGCGGGAGCCAGGCCCCACCGACCCGACCCGGGCAGGCACTTCCCGCAGGAAGGCTAACGATTAACACGCGGGCTCCCAGGAACATCTCATGGGGCTCCGGGGAAGGGGCTTCCTTATTCTTAGAGTGCTGTTAAAGACAAACCAACAACAGAAGACAGAGTGTTTTAAAACGTAAGCTGTCACCTGTGAGAGCCCTAAGTAACGCTCGAACGTCCAGCGGTACGCCCAACACGGACCGCCTACCGCACGTAGGCTAAACTCCAATTAAAAGCCAAACACAAAAACCAAAGGCCCGTTCAGGTTCCCAAATGCTTCTGAAAATCAGAATAAAGTTCTGGCCCCGCTCTCTCAAAACATTATCGGGACACCCGGGTGGCTCAGCGGTTGAGCAACCATCTTTGGCCCAGGCTGTGATCCTGGGGTCCCGAGATCGAGTCCCGTGTTGGGCTCCCTGCGGGGAGCCTGCGTCTCCCTCAGCCTGTGTCTGTGCGTCTCCCTGTGTCTCTCATGAATAAATAAAATCTTTAAAGTAAAAAAAGAAACACTGCTTATATATGTCTCTCTATATTTATACATGAAGCGTCTTGTATTCCTTTTCAGGAGGTTCAGGATGGGCTTAACAGAGACCTGGTTCAGATGATTAAGGAGTCCCCTCGTCTTAGAAAGTCCCTCTCGGAAAGGGTGACAAATCCACTTACTTCGTAGATCTTTGACGAAGGATCAAACTTTGCTGCCTGAGAAACGTGAGCGCGGTGTTCGAGGGAGGGCAGGAACTGGAGGAATGGAAGGAAACAGTCACTGAAAGGCGCGCGGGCCCCGGACGGGGTTTCCTGTGGGCTGCACGTGGGACGCCTGGTCTGTGCGTCGGCCCGGCCACGGCTCCCGGGCACCCGAGAGGTGTCCTTGCAGCTCTCGTCTTAGAGGACCCCGACTCCATCCCAACCCGGACACCAGGCGCAACCGACACGCCGGGCTCAGAAGCTCCCTCTCCAGGACTCCTGGCCTCTTTTCCGGGCAGGAGGCCCTACGAGCCGCAGAAGGCTGGGCCTCCCGTCAGCCCCGGACACACACAGCGCTCCCTTACCATCTTAAACGGATTTTCGAAGGACTCCATTATGTTCTGGGCTTTCTTCTGTGCAACTGTCAACGGGCTCTTCCCGCTCTCTTCAGCACTGGGTTCCTGCAGGGACGGGCAGAAAGGGACCAACTTATCACCGCGACCGCCGTGTGGCTTTACGACGCAAGCCGCAGAATCCTCGTGGCGGCAGCAGAACAACCGCTACTCTTCGGGCCTCTCCCACGCGGGGGGCCCTCCAGCAGCGTGGGCCAGCACGCAGGAGGGCGTCCTAACACATTTATTGAGCCAGCGAATTCTCAGGGTGCCCTTACAACATATGAGGTATGTGGTATTATTCTCCCCATCTTACAGATGAGGAAACTGAGGCGCAGCGTGGTTATGTCTTGCAGAGCCTGAGAGCCAACAGGGCAGGATGAAGACTGAAACCAGGTCTGGGTGGCTCTAGAACTTGAGGTTGTAAGCAGACACTTGCAAGTTAAAAATCAGAAACCATTATGGGGAATCAGTAAAATCAGGCAACCGGGTGTTGCTTCCAACTGGGTTCAGAACGTGCTTTCCTTCTGCTTTCTCCGTGGCGACAGTCCTGCCACACAGCACAGGACACCCAAGCACAGCGCTCCCATGCTCACGCAGCCCAAAGCTCATGCTCGTATCTTTAGCTGCCGAGTCACCTCGTTGGCCCAGTTAAAGCTCCCGGACTTCTCTGCTCAGGAATTACCGAAGCAAGACCCAATCTAAATGTGTGGGATTAAGTGGGGAAAAAAAGTTAACTCTCGGGGAGTACACTTTGCAGGTGGCATTTTGCCTTTCTGGCTGTGGCCCCGCGCTCTGGCACGATGGACCAGCTGTGACCTGTGATCCTGGCACCTACTGAACCACCAGCTGTTTCTCCCGTGAACACGTGCTAAGCTGGATACTCGTCTTTATCCATACAGATCGTACGCTTGCTTCTCTTTCTTTTCAGAAATTGTGATTTTTCCTTTAGCACATCTGTTGTTTGCACTATTCAGAGTTTTATCTGTGCATTTTCCTTTCAAGCTGGTCATTTTAGTATCCACCCATCTTGACCAACAACTGCACCCTGGTCCTCCTCTTGTAGGGAGCCCGTAGTTCAAGCCCTGGCAGAAACAAGACAGACACCTGCTGGGTAGGACAGACCGGGACGGCTCCGTCACCACCCGCTGCCGAGTGCAGGAGCATAAGCTGGGCCCAGGTTGGCCACACGCGCTCCCGGACCAGACGGGGCCACTGTCTACCATGACGCAGCCCCTCTTTGGGATGGGAAACACATTTCTACCCACGTGCTGGCGCCTTCGTATCTTGCTCTTCACTGTCCCTACTCAGCCGCGCTGTACAGAAATGCTTTTCAAAGCCTCCTCTTTTTCAGCCTGAGCACGTGTAGAAGGTGCTGACTTGTCTTGTAAAGGGAGGCGCGGCCCCGTTGAGCAGGGGCTGAGGATGGGCTGTGCCTTCCCTGCAGCCGGAAGGGAAGGTCCTGCCTCTATGTCACCGCAGCCCACGCCCTCCTCCCGACTAGGCATTAGCCAGCGTCCAGATGTCAACCCTTCTTCGGGGGTTTCTTCTCCTGAGACAACCCTCCACCTGCCTCTCATGGACCACTGGCAGATCTGTCCCCATGGCTGTTCCCACTGCTGCTGGCCTTTACTTCTGGCGTTAATCTCAAATGCAGATGCAGCAGGCCGGGCAGACAGCCTGTTTGATAAACCCAGTAACTGCCTACGGGTCTGCGTCACCTCACCGCCATCTCCTAGCACTCACGTTAAATAGTGTGATGACCGCAGTGGCGATGAGGCATCCGGTATCTGGCAGGGCCTCCTCTTCTCTTCGCTCAGGGAAGAGGCTTGCCTGTTTCTGCGCTGGCACAGGCCCTAGAGGGATGGAAGTCAGTACAGTCAAAGCCTCGTGGAGAGTGCGTGAGGCGGTTTCCGGGACATTCCAGAGACCTCTACATTACCGTTGCTTGGCATCATAGGGTAGCCGTCCGAAGAGGCGTGGGAGCAGTCGTGAGGTCCAAAGAGAACATTCTCCAATCTCTGCAGCAAAAAGAAACCCAAAGGCCTCGTGAAAGACGTGCAAGCGTGCGGCAGCTCTGCTGCACGGCCGGGGGCTGGCTCTGACAGGGGGCTCATCCCGCCCTGGTGCCGACCAGTGTCCTCCCCCGGAACAGAGACGACAGACACAGCGCTCTACCTCGGGACCGGGCAGTGGGCCGCTCTTCTTCACGCCACTTGAGACTTCGGACTGGGGAAAAACAAAAGAGCATCTGAGGAAAGGTGGTGCCTAGACGCGGCGACCACATTTCCCCAGCACAGACTGCGTCCCTCCACCGGACGCGCCTTGCAAGAGCCCGCAGACGTTATGCCGTCCTTCATCCCTTACAGCGCCTGGCACTATAACCACGTAGTGCTCAGCAATTACTTGTTGAATCAAAGAATGAAAGAAAGAATGTCTCTATCACAAGACCCAGTGCAGATTTCTGAGAGCTTGAAAGAGAGTCTCCTCTAGAAACCAGGGCTTCTCTCTTTACTTGCCCAAACTGTAGAGTGAATAAAAGAAATCTTTTTTTTTTTTTTAAAGCAACGTTAACACGAAGACTGAAATGTGTATATCCTGAGTTTCTTCTTTATCGCCCTAAAGGAACTGATTTAAGTCTTTCTGGATTCATAATCTCTCAAAAAACTGCTAATACGATTTATTATAGACCAATATCACCACCGGGGCAACACAATAAAAAACTGTCCCCCCAAATTCAAACTGAAGCATGCAAATCTATCCGAGCACGTAGTCCCATCCCCAGAGGTGCGCGTGTGCGCCCAGGCTGCTGTTCGCACCTGTGCACCGTGCGTGCGTGGACTTTGAGCTGCACAGCCTGCCTTCACCCAAGCCTGCGGAAGCTCAGCATCTCCTTCATAAACTTAGCTCTTCCTGAATTCCCCGTTTCTAGCCAAGGCCCTATCTTCCCAGCCACCTAGGCTTTATGTTGGGAGTGGGTTGTCTTTGACTCCACTTCCTATCATCCTCCAATCTGCTTGCCGTTCAGAGAACGCTCTGGAGTACTTTGCAAAGTACTCAAAAAACCAGCAGCAACTTTCACGTCTGTTTCTAAGTCACATTAACCCTTCTTCTGATAGTGCTTCTCGTGTCTTTCTTTTCCTTTCAATTTCCATGACCACCAAACTCATGGGGCCTTATCATTTTACATCAGAGCTTCCAAAACATGCTCCTGGTACTGAGACCCCACTCCACTCTTTTTTTGAAGGTTGTTTTTGTTTTGTTTTTTAACTATTTATTTTAGAGTGAGACAGAGTGGGAGCAGGAAGGGGGTAAGGGGAGGGAGAGAGGAAGGGGAGAGAGGGAGGGAGGGAGAGAGAGAGAGAGAGAGAGAGAGAGAGAGAGAGAAGCTGACTCCTTGCTGAGAGCAGAGCCCAACGTGGGGCTCAATCTCACGACCCTGAGATCATGACCTAAGCCAGAATCAAGAGTTGGACACTTATCTGACAGAGCCACACAGATGCCCCTCGAGTTTACTTTAGTAACCTCTACACCCAGCGTGGAGCTCAGACTCCTCACCCCAAGACCAAGGGGCACAGCCTTTCTGCGTGAACCAGCCAGGCGCTGTGACCCCCAATCCATTTTATTCCACCAGATTAACTGCCTCCAAAGGATAGCTAACTGGCCTAGTCGTTAGACTTTACTTGGTGATGGATTATCGAAGATAAGAAGATAAGATCATAAACAAGCAGGAATGGGGCGCCTGGGTGGCTCAGTCAGTTAAGCAACCAGACTTGACTTCAGCTCAGATCATGACTTCCAGGTCGTGAGACTGAGCCCCATGTCAGGCACCAGGCTCAGTGCAGTTTGCTTGAGATTCTCTTTCCCTTTCCCTCTGCCCATTCTCCTCGATGGTGTGCACCCGCGTACATTCTTTTCTAAAATAAGTAAATAAAAGAAATCTTTAAAAAAAAAAAGTAATGAGTACATTTAGCTTTTGACCATCATGAAGAAGACACGTCAGGGTGCCTGGGTGGCTCAGTTGGCTAAGTATCTGCTTTCAGCTCAGGTCATCATCTCAGGGTCTCTGGATCAAGACCCGCATCAGGCTCCCTGCTCAGTGGAGAATCTGCTTCTCCCTCTCCCTCTGCTCCTCCCACTGCCTGTGCTCTCTCTCAAATGAATAAATAAAATCTTTAAAGATTTTTATTTTTTATTTTTATTTTTTTATCTTTAAAGATTAAAAAAGAAGAAGACATGTCCACTGCCTTTCCTAACCCCTATGATTTTCTCGGGGTTTTTTAGAATGGAGACCAGATCGTGTATGGAGAAGACCACAGGTGCCAGCAGAGAGAACAGGCCTGTCGACCTGGAACCTTTAGCAGCAAAGCTTCTTACCTTGAGCAGGGGCATCTCTCGAGCCTGCTGGATTAAAAGATGCATCTCATTGATCTGCTGCCGCACAAGAGGTGGAACAGGGTTACAGCAAGCTATGATACCCTGAGGTTCCCTGAAGACAGGAAAGAACACATTCAACTCGTCATTTAGGGACATGGTCCCCTGAGGTTTCCAGACGAGAACAGAGAGCGACAACTAAGATGAAGACCCGGGAAACACATTCTTATCAGGGCAGCCTGGGCGAGCGGCTTCTAGGTGAGCTTTACTGCACCAAGCTTGGAGTAGACACCTCTTGCCGTTCGCCTCCGGCTAGCAGGGAGAGCTGGAGAGGAGCCCCATAGCTCTACATGGTGCTGCAACGGGGTCAACAGAAGATCACGAATTTAGATTCTTTGGTTATTGTTCCATTAACACCAAAAAGCATTCACAATCGTTAAGATGTCTTGGTTTGGAACAAATTACAGCTCAGAGACTCTGAGATCCTTTCCTCTCTGAGCTGGAGGCTCAGATTTACACTGAACCCCATCTGAGGCATAACCACTGAAATGGCTGCAGCTCAGGTTTAGTTCCTACAGGGTAGCCAGAGGGCAAAATTCTACATTCCTTGGACTTCCTTAGAGCACTAATCTTCTCTGAGTCAACAGCCTTGAGGTAAGAACTATCAGAGAAACTGATTCTGAAGGATAAAATCTGTCCGCTGAGAAAGTCGGGACATAGCTACCAGTTCTCAGGCTCACTTGGGCAGTTCTTCAGCTATCTTTAGCATCATGTGGTTTGGCAGTACGTATCTAGAACAAAACACACAGTGGGATCACGTTAAATTCCGCCAGAAAACCCCATTAAAGGCTACAACCCGAGGGAAAACGTAACCAACTTTCATGGCGAAAAGAAAAAAGGCCTTTTTATTTCCTTGTTACCCGAGCTGCTCGGTCTAGGAGCAGATATTAAGAGAATGTCTAATCCCTTACCCGTAACTTTCATCTTCCCTACGAGCTGTTTTATCCCTCCAGGCAAACAGCAGCTGAAAGGCCGTCAACTGCTGTATGTTGAGATGCTTTTTCTGCTTCCTGTATAGTTCAAGGTAGGACTCATCCGTGAAGAGAGGCTTGACGAATTTCTGTAAAATAGTACAGGACATTCAAGATCAATGGGCATCAGGCTTGTGCCCTGGGCTCTTCAAAACACTTGGCTCTTTTCAGGAATGTAAAGACCAGAGCAAAGAACGAGGCCCCAGTCAGAGACAGAGAGGCCGTGGCCGGCCAGGCTGTACCTTGAGGCAGATGTCCCTGCTGCGCTGCCACACCACCTGCAGCTGGACAGGCTGCTCGTTGCCTCGCTCCCACAGCTCCAGCCTCATTTTATCATAAATGTAAAGCAGGTAATGGGTGTCATCTCGGGCGTAGTTGAGCATTTCCTCAGGCAGAGGTCTAGAATTGCAACAAAGGAAATTATTTTGCTGCGAGGAGCAGCGACGTAATGATCCCTTTGATAGCACAGCCAATGGTACGGGTATATCAATATATCCTCCATCTAATGTGACAAGCCATTGTTTTCACAGCAGGGAAGAGAGGGCAGCAGGATAACAATGTGGCTGAAAAGGGAGGCCCTGCCATCCTGAGTTTGAACCTCAGCTCTGCACACCTGTCCTTGGACAAGTCACTTAAGCTCTCTGGGCTCAGCTGCCTCACCTGCGGAACGAAAGGCACTTCACAGGCTGCTGTGGGACCACCCAGCACGACAGCCCTGAAGCTCTTAGCTCAGTGCTTGGCATGTGACAATGGCTCGGTAACAGGGGCTGGCGTTTAGACTTCTGTCAATTTTCATTTTCTATTTCCGCTTTATCAGATTCTCTTTAGAAATTCTGGCGTGCGGACCTGGAGGGAAGTTGAGTGGCTTCTTCGTACAACAGCTGCAACCTCGGGGAGGAAGCTAGCCACCTGACAGTGATCGAGTGGAGCCCAAACTCCAGAAAGTGTCGCGGGAACATCATGCTCTTAAGCACTCATCACAAGGTGCAATCACCTATGTACCTTAGAATTCTCTCGGACCTCTGGGAGATCACCACACACACCCCCATCTGTCCACTAGGGATCCGAGTGTCAAACCAGAGACTAGCAGGGACATAAATACTGACAAGCCACGCCTCTTCCAACCACGGTCTGGGCGAAGCACGGTGTGATAGCCCAGCACACACTCCACACGGTCACCCTAAAACTTCCAGTTGTGCTTATGTCGCTGAAAACAGCTGCAGGAAAGACTAGCGACATTCAACTCAAGATTCAGCTAAACGTCACAGCCTGCGCATAGGTCCGTGGGGCCGAGAGGCTGGTGAGCACCCACGCTTCCCGCTGCCGGCCACACTTCCCCACCAAGCACACACCGTATTCTCCAGTCGGCCAGCTGATACTGCTTGTTCGATTCCACACTGCAGTAGAGTTTGAGCAGATGGTCCAGGGAGTGCCGGCCCAGGTTAAGCAGGCGCGCTGCCTGATGGGTGTCAAACATGTTCACTACATACAATCCGAAGTCTTTCTGTAGCCATTCTATGTCTGAATCGGCACCATGGAAGACCTGAAGATAAAACGGGAGTCATGCGGCACGATGTGTACAAGGCCCCTGTGCTCTGAAACAAGCCCTGCCCCTAGGTCATTACAACATTGGAATTAGAAGCCAGAAGGAGGATTAAGATGGGTGCAGTTTTAAAAATCCTTTTAATTTGGATCAACGGCCTTCTGCACTCCTAACTGCACACTCTTAACGTCTGAAACTGCCAAGAGCCAGTGATTCTAAGGAGGCAGCTCTACTAGCTACAAGGATAGTCATTAAGTCCAAAGGATCCTGATGGCTCGGGCTCGTTGCCGTAGTCATTAACATGATGTAACGTGTCGCCGGGTGGTAACGAGCTATAGCTTAAGCTGCTCTAATTGGGGCTTAGAAATAAAAGCAGTTTAGCGTGCGGGACCGGAAAGTAGGAAATTACAATTATTTCTCTCAACTTCACCAGGTCTGTGTTGAAATAATGATTCAGTAAACTGAGCAACACTTAAATCTCATGCACAGACAAATGAGCTACAAAAGGCTGGCTGACCTTAACGATGGTGGGGTCTGTGAGGCTCTCGTTGAGGATGTACATGTCGCTTCGAAGCTCCAGGGTGTCGACAATGAAATCTTCTGTTCGGGTGGAGATTTGCATCAGGCAGGTCAGCCCCAGGAAGCTCCTGTATGAGTGGTGCTAAAACCCAGAAAGAGGGGAGAAGAGGGAAAAATGATTACACCAGGCTTTCCTTTACTGATTTCGGGAGGGCGGCTATAAAGGCAAAATTGTATGACTAATTTTTACCAAAACACGCATCTGCTAGTCTCAGTTTTATGATCCTCCGGTGGGAGTGAGCCCACAGAGAATGTAAAATTTCACTCAAGGTCAACTTACCTCTAAGTCTACCGCGAACTCTTGACAAGTCAAGAGCTTTTCATTAAGCTCCACCAGTTCGTCCAGGGAGGACACAAAATGGCAGGGCGTCTCTCCCACAGGCCTGTACAACTGGAGCATGAAAGCACAGGTAGAAAAAGAGAGGAACGTTACGAATCATCCTTCACTAAAGCACAAAATGAATTAGGAATTCAAGAAATGATCCGAAGTTGCAACGTTTTACTTTAAAGTTATTTAAGGAAAGCCAAAATTGCACTGATTTGATTCTTCCTGGACTACTTGGATATCATCCACAAGCCAAGTTTGGGTGCTGACCTGGGGTTGTGGCTTTTGAAGGACTGACTCTGGAGGAGTGAAGTGATCTAGTTCATACTGGTAAGGATGTGCAAACCTGAATAAAACAAAAAGAGAAATCCTTTTGATGAATTCTGTGATTCAAGGAGAAACGATGCTTTAATCCAATTTGTAAAAGCAAAGGAGGAGAGACCATTGTGAAGACATTTTCTTGCTATAAAAAGCACCATTATTTTAATAATTCAAGGGCATCAAAAAAAAAAGGTCATACTGGTTCGTGCTTATAATGTGATCATTAAAACTCTACTCATCTATAAAGATTTGAGCTCCTATTTCAAAAACACTGCGTGGCTGCCATTGCGGATGATACAAAAACATGCAATGTGCAATTTCTTGTGGTCTGGAAAACACAACCCATGGTGAGAGAGGGTGGGGGAGATATCTCAGTGGGGCAGATGCCAAATGCTATTTTTTTTTTTTTTTCCGTTCCTCTATCATCTCTACTCGCAGAAAAATCCTAAGTCTGAGTTCCTTGAGGGCAGGGCTGCCTCTCATCACCTATATTTCTTTAGCACTTGGCCTGTGGCCTCAAGGCGCAGAGCTGTGCCCGAAGGAATGCTGCTCAGGCCGATTCTGGCTCTGCGTGGGGAAAAGACCAACACTAGCAAAGTTCTTACCGTCTTTTTCCCTCGTGCAAGGTCCATTTGTCTATGTTAAGCAATTGTCTTTTTTTTTTTTTTTTTTTAAGATGCTTATGCTGCCAGTGAAAAATGCCTTTTCCTTGCTGAGTTTATGAGCGGGCCCCTACCTCACTGTATGAGTCGTACCCGGTAAGAAAGGCAGAGCGGCAGGGGAGGAAGGACGGTTTTAAGAACACTTGGGGTTTCAAGTTCTGGTTGGATGGGAAGTCAGCACCCTTTGTTTTGTTTCTGCCTCTATACAGTGGGGGGGGGGGTGTCGTGGCTGCTTCCCAGGGGTGCAGTGAGGGTTACCCAAGATACCGTTTGTGCAGGCCCTCTATGAACACAAGCCGGAGGTTTTACCAAAGAGATCCACATTAGGATAAGGATAGCAATCACCCATTCCTCAGATTCTTTGTTTCATTTATGTATTTCACAAAAATGAAACCGAGTGAGCATGTGGCATAAAGGTTCAGGAGCCACAGCAGGAAGTTCCAGCAGCAAATACTTACATGTCCTGCTCCACCTGCTGGGTTCTCTGCTGATGGATGAAATCAGCCAGGGCAGGGGGGACATCCAGGTCCTCCGGACGATCCTGTGGGCGCTCTCTCCTTTCTTTCGAGAGTGCTGGAGACCCAAGCAGTGACAACACCACCATCAAAAAAGAGGTGAAAACATTCACATCTTAACTCGTCACAGAGTGGCTAACTGGCTCTTTTCGAAGACAGAAAGGTGGGAGGGAGAGGTTTTCCTCTGTCCTTAGGCAGAGTTTGCATGCCTTACCCTGAGGGAGGGGTTTCTGAGCATTGGGCTTGATGAAGATCTTGGGAAGAAACGGAGTGTTGGAGTTGTCGATCTTTTCTCGGAATTTAAGCTGAGGCCGGACGATGTTTTTTGCATGAAGCAACCGAAAAGTTTCAGATTTTGTTTTTTTGCTATATTCTCCTGCCTGTGACAACAAGGAGTTTATAACATAGCAACTTGATGAATTAGAAAAGTAAATTCCCACTTATGCCTTCTGCGGGCATTCATTTAAGAAAGTATGTGTATGTGAGGTTGCGGGGTACAAAGGAGACAAGACGTAATTAGGTTGGTCGTGTCTGTTTATGGGAACAAGTTGTGCAATGGCCACTTCTGTGTCCAGTAAATCAGAACAGAAGAGGCAAAGGCCCTATTATAAAGCTGACGTCTGAAGCTCCAGCCAATCTGAAAAGAAGCCCTCACCTTACGGTTCCAGCTGGACACTATTGTTTTGGGAACCTGCAGTCCTGCCGGGAGGACAGGCTGTTGATTCTTATTCACACCTGATGCCTCATCCAGTAAAATACCCTAAGGGCAGAAGACATAATAGTTTAGCATCTTCCTTTCAGGGTTAACAAGTTAATTACCTAAAATTCTTAAGAAACAGATTCAGAGAATGACATGTAAGAACATTTTATATTATATTACATTATATTACATTATATTACATTATATTATATTATATTATATTATATTATATTTATTATATATTACATAAAATATTAATTATATTTAATTAATCAATAATTATATCTATATTATATACATATGTTTAGCAGATACACACACACATATATACCTGAGAGAGTCATCCAAAGTAATTAAAGCATTATTTGCTCAAAGACGGGGCAGAAACTGGCCACTGTCCACCCCTGATCAACTCCCTTTACAGCTCTTGGTGGGGCTGACAAAGCAAAAGTGACTTACAGTGTGATGTGGCCCACCAAAAGAATGAAAAAGACCCTAGACTGTAGCTATTCAACACAAAAGGCTGGTACCCAGAGTGAGAATGAGGGTGTCCTGATCTACTCTGTCCCATCGAAGCAGACATGCGGTATCGGTTCGGGCGTCCAGGTCACAAGGAGTAACATGGCAGGACTTGAAACCATAAAATATGAGAAACCGCTGAAAGACCTGTGGGCATTTAGACTGTGGAAGAGATGACTTCATGGGACAGGAGAGCATGATTTAAACGTCTGCAGGACCGACATGGTTGGGGGTTAGCTTTATTTTGGATTATCTCTACGTATTTCTGTAAATAATGTTCTGCTGTAGAGTTAGAGGAGGCAGTAGAAGTCAGCTAGATCATATGATGCGCATTTCCTTCCAATCACACAAGTCAGGCTGTTTAGCAGATTGTAGGTAACAGGAAAAAAAAAAAAGACTATATTTTGGTTGGCCTCTCCCCTTGCCATACAATAGGATTTGCATATCTGGAACACAGATTTATAACAGGCCTCCACTGAGCGGTGATAGTTGAAGACAACTGTAGTTTTTTCTTTGGGGAAAAAGCAGCCAGCTGTCAGGAAGGGAATGTTGTTGGAACAAGAAATGCTAAACTTGTCATTTCCTCGGATGTTCCGGTTTCTTTCCATATTGTAATACTGTAAAAGCTCTTCATTTCTTTTCTTTCTTAAGCTTTTATTTTTAATTAATCTCTATGCCCAACGTGGGGCTCAAACTCACAGCCCCGCGATCCAGTGTCACCTGTTCTTCTGACTGAGCCAGCCAGGAGCCCCTATTTGTTAATTATCTCAAGAGTAAGATGAAACACTCACCACTCTTTCCAGAATGACATCATTGGTATCAACTAGTAAATCAAACTTATCCTCCAACTCTGTCACTTTACTTCGGTCCTTAATGTTGCTTCGACACCCGTGGTACTGCATTACCCTACTCATGCTAGGAAGGACAGAAAAACCAATGTTAGTTCACATACTTTATTCCATTTGTTCCCAATCTGAGAGAAAGCTTGAAAGGCTGGGCTCAGACTGCTCCCACTATTTTTTTTAAGATTCTATTTATTTGTTTGAGAGAGAGCGCATGAGAGAGAGGAGGGGAGGAGCAGAGGAGGAGGGAGAGAGAATACCTGAAGCAGACTCCTCACTGATCGTGAAGCCCAACGCAGGGCTTGATCTCACAACCATGACATCATGACCTGAGCTAAATTCAAGAGGTGGAGGCTTATTAGAAACGACAAATACCCCCCATTTGCTTCAACGTGGATGGACCTGGAGGGTATTATGCTGAGTGAAGTAAGTCAATCGGAGAAGGACAAAGAGCGTATGTTCTCATTCATTTGGGGAATATGAATAATAGTGAAAGGGAATATAAGGGAAGGGAGAAGAAATGTGTGGGAGATATCAGAAAGGGACCAGAACATAAAGACTCCTCACTCTGGGAAACGAACTAGGGGTGGTGGAGGGGGAGGAGGGCGGGGGGTGGGGGTGAATGGGTGTCGGGCACTGAGGGGGACACTTGACGGGATGAGCACTGGGTGTTATTCTGTATGTTGGTAAATTGAACACCAATAAAAATTAAAAAAAAAAAGAGGTGGAGGCTTAACTGACTGTGCACCTCCCCAAATACTTTTTGATCAAACTAATAAAACCTGTACGGTCACAGCAGAAGCATTGCTAGTTGTGTGGTCTTGGACAATTCCCTAAATCTCACTCAGACTCCCTTTCTTTGTTAATTGAAAGGGTGGAAGAAATTACCTCAAAGCTTCCTTCAAATTCTAAAAAATATATCATACTATGTAAATAATATGCTTTGCATTCATTGCTTTATCACAAAATCTAAAATAGGTGCTCTAATTTTTTTTTTTAAGATTTTTATCTACTTATTCATGAGAGACACAGAGAGAGGCAGAGACACAGGCAGAGGGAGAAGCAGGCTCCACGCGGGAAGCCCGATGTGGGACTCGATCCCAGGACCCCAAGGGTCATGCCCTGGGCCGGAGGCGGACGCTCAACCACGGAGCCACCCAGGGGCCCCCAGATGCTCTAAATCTGTCCTGCAACAGTTAAACGAAATCACTATTCGTGTACTGTCCCCATACACTTACTAAAAAGCTGATACCCATGGCTCTGCAGCTGTGTGAGAGAAATCTTGGCTTAGGCTTTCAAGTCCCATCATTAACTCAAAAATTCACCGTCCACAAATAGATGTAAAAGCCAATATATTCATTATTCTTATTTTTTTAAAGATTTCATTTATTTACTTGAGAAAGAGAGAAAGAACACACGCAGGGAGAGTGGAAGAGGGAGAAGCAGGCTCCCCTCTGAGCAGGGGGCCCGAAGGGGGACTCAATCCCAGGACCCCGGGATCATGGCCTGGGCTAAAGGCAGATGCTTAACTGTCTGTTAAGCACACCCAGGGGCCGTGTCAGCAATATATTTTTTAAAAGTCAAGCAAAAAAATTTACCAAATAACATTCCCCTAATCAAAATAAAAAAACATCTACCAAATCAACACTGTCTAATTTATTTTTTAAAGATCTTACTTTTCTTGAGTACTCTCTGCATCCAACAAGGGGCTTGAACTCAATCCTAAGAGTCGTAGGCTGCACTAAGCCAGCCCACTGTCTCATTTTTATATCTCAAAGCTCTTTTTTTAAAAAAGATTTATTTGAGAGAGAGAGTACAAGCATGTGTGATCGCAGGAGGAGGGGGGCAGAAGCAGAGGGAGAAAAGCAGATTCTGTGCTGAGTGTGGAGCCTGACACCAGGGTCAAATGCACGACCTTGAGGTCACGGCCTGAGCCAAAATCAAGAGTCAGACTTGACCAACGGAGCCACCCAGGTGCCCCTATAGCTCTTCACAGCACAGAACAATACAGTTAAGAGAAAACCAATTTCCGGGGAAATCACCTATTTTTCTGTACTCATACCTGTCAGTACGAGAAAACGATACGGAGTACTCACCAGTGGAGCAACCTGTCTCCCTGTGTCTCGCAAAATGCCTGGAAGCCAGGGAAACTTCGGTAGAAATCATACTCATCACCGAACTGCGGCAGGCCCCCGGATGCCTTGGTCACTGCCACCACCGACCCAAGAGCAAACTGTCAAAACCCAGAGAAACGAGCGAGCTTTGAACCCCCCTCCCCGTTCACTCCCCCGTTAACTCGCATCTCTCAGGATCTGCTGCACTCGGGCAGCTCGGGGGGGGGGGGGGGGGGGGGGGGGGGGGGGGGGGGGGGGCGGGGCGCCGGCCCGTGACGCAGGATGACGTCGCCGCAGAGCCAGGCGGGGGCTCCCGGTCTAGTAAGAGCGCGCGGGAGGTGCGCGCGCCGGGTCCGCCCGCCCGTATTTGGGGAGCAGCGCGCGGCTCAGACGGAGCCGCCCGCACCCGCACCCGCACCCGCACCCGGAGACGCGGGGACCGGAGTCGGGGCAGCTCCGACAGGCGGCGGGGCCGGGGCGTTGGGGGCGGGGCCGGGTCCAGAGGGCGCCGACGGGGGACGCTGGGGGCGGGGCCGGGGAGCGCCGACGGGGGCGCTGGGGGCGGGGTGGGGGGGTGGGGGGGCGCCGGCGGGGCCGGGGCCGGGAGGCGCTGGGGGCTGGGGTGGGGGGGCGCCGGCGGGGGCGGGGCCGGGGCGCTTGGGGGCGGGGCCGGGGCGCTTGGGGGCGGGGCCGGGGAGCGCCGGCGGGGGGCGCTGGGGGCGGGGTGGGGGGGTGGGGGGGCGCCGGCGGGGCCGGGGCCGGGAGGCGCTGGGGGCGGGGCCGGGTCCAGAGGGCGCCGACGGGGGGCGCTGGGGGCGGGGCCGGGGAGCGCCGACGGGGGGCGCTGGGGGCGGGGTGGGGGGGTGGGGGGGCGCCGGCGGGGCCGGGGCCGGGAGGCGCTGGGGGCGGGGGTGCGGGGGCGCCGGTGGGGGCGGGGCCGGGCGCTTGGGGGCGGGGCCGGGTCCAGAGGGCGCCGACGGGGGGCGCTGGGGGCGGGGCCGGAGCGGCGGGGGGCGCCGACGGGGTGGGGGCGGGGCCGGGGGAGACGCCGCCCCGCGCGTCCCGCTGCTGGCGCCGAGGGTCGGCCGGGGGCGCGGGGGCGCGGGGCCCCGGGTCGGCAGCCCCCCCGCCACCCCCCACGCGGCTTGGCGCGGACGTGAGGACGAGCGCGGCGCCCTGGGAAGCGGGTCGCCCCGAGCCCGCGTGCGATCTGCGCCCAGAGAGGCCGCGGGGGCGCCGGCAGCCGCCCGTGGACCCCCGCTCGCGGCTGGGGCCCCCCGCGGGCCCGGAGCTCACCTTCACGAAGCTGTCCGCGTCCGGGAAGCCCGGCAGCACCATCTCCCCGTCGGGCTGCGCCGCGCTCGTGGCCGCCGGGGCCGCGGGCTCTCGCGGGCTGGGAGGCGCCATGTTTCCCGGCCTGACGGCTCGTCTCGCGAGAGCGCCGAGGCCGCCGCGCCGGGCGCCACTGCGCATGTGCGGGGCGGGCTCCGGGAGCCGAGCCGGCGGGGCGTGCGAGCCGGTTGTTGGCCCGGGCCCCACCGCGGGGCCGCACGTCTCGTGGTCCGGGCGCGGCGGGGCCCGGGGGCCGCGTTCCCGCCCTGCTAAGGCCAGTGCCCCCCCCGCACCTGTCCGCTCCCCGGTTCCTAGCGGCCCAGCCGGGGTCGCGGCCGCCTGCGGGGGCGCCCGACGTGCCCCGCCGGCCACACCGCGGGGAGCACGTGCTGCGCCGCCTGCTGGGGCCTCGCGCGTTGAGCGGACCCGGGAGGAGCTTCTGTTGCGAGGGAGGCAGCGTCGGCCGCGGGCGGGGAAGCTCCGCGCTGGGCCCCCTGGACTCCGGGGCTTCGGACGCGCAGTGAACGGCCGCGCGTCTCTTGTTCACGGTCTTTTTTTTCTTTTTTTCTTTTAAGGTTTTATCTATTTATTCCGGAGAAGCAGAGAGAGAGGCAGGGGGAGAAGCAGGCTCCACGCGGGAAGCTCGACGCGGGACTCGAACCCAGGACCCCGGGGTCACGCCCTGGGCCGAAGGCTGCCGCTCAGCCCCGGAGCCCCCGGGCGCCCCAAGATACCCGATTGCAGGGAACGTGCTTCCACCCCCGGACCCCACGCACCCCACCGCACCCAGCACAACAGAGACTAGCCTGGGTCATTTGAACAGCACGTGTTTGTGAGCTTATTCCACTTGGGTCAGCCCTACACCACCCGGCAGGCTGTGCTCTGTGCCTCCCGGGGCTTAGCTCAACCTTAAAACCAGCTTTCGGGCGCCTCATACTGTTATCCGCAGATCAAGGAACTTGTTCAGAGTCACACGTGGCTACAGTGGAGCGCGGTTGAGATTCGAAAGTCGGGGATTTGACGCCACAGCCTTAATTCTAGGTGCTTCCAAGAGTTCTGATGCCGTAGCCTGGAGAACCGTATCCTTCTCGGACTTACCTCACTTAGCATAATATTCTCTAGCTCCATCCACGTCATTGCAAATGGCAAGATTTTTTTGATGGCTGCGTGATATTCCATTGTCTCTACGTATAGATCACATCTTTTTTATCCATTCATCACGGGGTCGTGGGATTGAGTCCCGCCTTGGGCTCCTCGTGTGGAGCCTGCTTCTCCCTCTGCCTGTGTCTCTGCCTCTCTCTGTATTTCTCCAGAATAAATAGATAAAACCTTAAAAAAAAAAAAAAAAAAGATATCACGATGGACGTCCGGGCTCTCTCTCTATAGTTCGGCTACTGTGGACGCTGCTGCTGTGAACACTGGGGTGCAGGTGCCCCTACAGATCACCTTTGTATCTTTGGGGCAAATACCTAGCAGTGCAATTGCTGGGTCCTAGGGTGGTTGTATATTTGACTTTTTGAGGAACCTCCATCCTGTTTTCCAGAGTGGCTGCACCGGCTTGCATTCCCACCAGCAGGGTAAGAGGGTTCCTCTTTCTCTGCATCCTCATTGACATTTGTTTTAAGAAACAAAACAGGAGCACAGGGATGGGATGGGAAGGGACGGAAAAATAAAGCAAGACGAAGTCAGAGAGGGAAACAAACCGTAAGAGACTCTTGACCACAGGAAATACACTGAGGGTTGCTGCAGGGGGGACAGGGTAACCGGGTGATGGGCACTAGGAGGGCACGTAACGTAATGAGCACTGGGTGTTAAATCCAACTGATGAACCACTGAACTCTGCCTCTGAAACTAATAATACACCGAATGTTAATTGACTTTAAATAAAAAAAAAAAAAACCTGTACCGATGTGTGCAGGGATCCCGGAAGTCATTCTTTGCCATATGCCTCCCTTCTCGCAGGGTTACGTGAAACCATCTGGATTGGTAGGTTAATGACCCTGTCCTTCAAGGCTTCCGTTAGCTCACGACCTTTGGTAATTCACCTCAACAAAGTTGGAAAGTTTTGTCCAGGTGTAACTTGAAACCCTTTGGATTCACTAACGATCTTCATCCCAAGGACTCCCATCCTAAGGAGTAGGTCTTTCCAATTGATGGCCACCATGTAGTCCATTCATTCCCATACCCTTTATCTCTCACGAATGGTAACATCATTGGTCATGGATAGTTAGTTCTTGTAGGTCCAAGAAAGTTATGGCGATCACATTTTCTGGAGCAAAAGAGTTGATGGTTTAGAATCATAGAAAACCTGAGGCTGGTATGAGACTCTCTCTCCGTGAGGGTTAGAACTTATCAGTATTACTATTGATATTTAAATTCATCTTTGGGGGGCAGCCCTGGTGGCTCAGTGGTTTAGCGCCACACCACCTTCAGCCCAGGGCCTGATTTCTGGAGACCCGGGTTCGAGTCCCACGTCGGGCTCCCTGCATGGAGCCTGCTTCTCCCTCCGCCTGTGTCTCTGCCTCTGTGTCTCTCATGAATGAATAAATAAAATCTTAAAACAAAAATTCATCTTTGGTTTTTGGGGCACCCGGGGTCATGATCCTGGGGGTCCCGGGATCGAGCCCTGCATCAGGCTCCCTGCTCAGCGGCGTGTCTGCTTCTCCCTCTCCGTCCACCTCCCCCCCCCCACACCCATCCCAAAATAAATATCTAAAAAAAAAAAAAATGAATTCATCTTTGGTTTTAATAGAGGAGTCCTCCACCAAATGTGTACAGAGCACCACTGTGGTCCGGGGCTCTGGGAGATACGGGGTTACGCCACGTAAGACATGGTTCCTGGCCTTGTAACTCCTGCTCTCCCTGATGCAAGTCCTTTGACACTACTTCAGGATTCAGTGTTTCTCACCGGGTGGCTGCGGCCCACAGGAATTTAGAAACAGAAAATTTGCTTGGACTGAAAATGCTGTTCTTCGCAAGCACCGTAGGCAGGCCCTCTACAGCGGGCCTCTGTGGAGTACCGGCCAGCCGCGCTTAGCGTCTTCCCTCCCCGGTGCTGCATGGTCCTTCACGAGGTCCTGCGGCGGCTACTTCCCCTTTACCTGTTGGACACTGGTTATCTTTTTAAAAAATACTACTCAGATTCTGCTTCTCCGTTTTAGAACTTCACACATTCCCTGTTGTCCCTGCATCAGGCTCAAACTCCTTGTTGTTGAACCGAGGCAGGCCACTGACCCCAAACCCTCCTCTCTGGCCCCCTTTCAGCTGCTTCCCTTCCCTTTGGCCTCTTCTGACCCCTCAGCCAGCTACGCCGAACCATCAGGCCCTTCTGTGTATTCAAAATGGCCTAAGACTTGTGGTCGAATACGGTTCAGTACGTGCCATTCCTGCCAATATTGTGCTTTGTGCTTTTCTGCTGAATGTCTTCGCTTGCTTCATCTGATAAACTCCACGCGTCCTTTGAAGCCCACGGCAAATGTCCTCTTTCCGTGTAGCTTTCCTGGCTCGCCCAGTGGAATTTGTGCCTCCTCCCACTGAGGCTCGCACCCTGGATGTGTTCTTCTCCCCGCGGAGCTTGGGGGGGGTCACCAGTCCACCCCGACACGATGCTGGCCCCGCCACGTGGCCCCCATGTCTTGCGCAGTCCTTAGTGTCACATGCCTGGTGAATGCTGGCTGCTGAAGGATACCTGCTTCCCTTATAAACTCGTGACTATAGTAAAGACACACATACGCGTGGTTTTAAAATTCTGATGTCATTTATTGGCACAAAAATTATTCAGATACAACATGGTGTCTAGAATGGCTACACTTGATACTTTGTGCATTTAGTTTAATATTTCTTTTGCTCAGAGCTCCCAGCAGGTACCAGACCTTCCCTCTCCGTCAGCAGCCGCAGGATGCAGGACGGCATTTCTGTTTCCAAGCCTTGCTCTAAACAGAGCGTTCCGACTGGCCGTGCTGGGGAAGGAAGGCTGCCGCGGGCCGCCCTACCGCTCCGTGGTCTTCGTGCACCTGCTCCGCCGAGGCTGCCCAGCCATCGGAAGAAACTCCCCTCCCAGCATTCGGGTCTTGGATTGAAGTGCCTAAGTCGCAGCGTCACAGGTGAGGCAGCGGACAGACGCCTTCCCCCATTTGGGCGGCCAGTGAGGTAATGCGATGGGTGCAAGTGACCACGTCAGCTTCTGATTCCGAACACGTGTCCGCCATGGTCCGAGGCTTCTTGGCCGTGCAGTTTGCTGTATCCTTGTCGAGAGGAATGACGAGGCCACTCTTCTATCAGCAACGCTTGTGGTGAGTTCTCTGATGAGTTAAGTCAAAACCCGTATTTCTAAGTTATGGATCTTCTGTTCCCCCGAATCAATGGCTTGATCTGCGTCGTATCACCGTGTTGACTGTCCTGGGAACCAAATCAAGCCTTGTGTTTCTGACAGTATATTCTTCAACAGCAGCTAGAGAGTTGGCTCAAACCAACCTTTAATATACAGTAGGTACTTTTCATTTACATCTCAAGATATTTAACAAAGTCGAACTCTCTGACCGTGGTTTCAGTTTAGTGGAAGCGTATTCCAAAGCACGAAAGCCTCAGGAGAAACGCTGTGGACAGGTCTGGGCCTCGCGTTACCAGAAAGGACACCTGAGAGGACGCAGAGAAAAGGATTATTTTACTAATTTGGGCTTTTTCAAAGCTTTTCACAGATACACTGACACTGGAGAGCCCAAGGTCTGACAACCCCGGGGACGACCCCTGAGATCTCCCTCGACTGTCGGACACACTCCTCACTTCTGGGGCTGAAGCCTGCTGCGGTCCCAGTCCCAGGAGGACGCTTCCCCGCCACACTCCCTCTCTCCCTAGCTTCAGGCGCGCCCCAGAGTGGTCCTCGCCCCAGAGTGGTCCTCGAGGTTACAATCCCAGATCACAGATCTGTCTTTGCATCTCTCCTCCTGTCGGCGATCTGTTCTCGGCCCCTCCCTCTTTCTCGGAATTGATGGCAAAAGTCCAAAGAGAGAATAGAATCCCTCGCCCTCCCGACAAAGGGGGACTCGCCTCTTTCCTAACCCATTTTTTAATGTAGTTTTATTTGGTGTTTGCCTTTGCACGTGCACCCACGTCTCTCAAGTTCCTCCCTTTTCAGGACCACGACCACCCCCCCTCACGGTGCCCCCAGA